AAAAATAAATGCTATTTTATTTCTTTAATAAGCCAAACCCAATTTTTAATTTACTTTATCTAATCTTTTGAGATAAAATTCTAAAATTTTAATGTCGTCTGGGTTCTATAAGCAATCTTATAATGCAAATTTATCTGCAACCCCAAATTTAGCAATCATTTCTAAGAATGTTCCAAAAAATTGAAAATATTATTGGAACTCTTATGCTTTTATATTCGACTTTTTGCTGTATAGTGATTTTTCTAGCCATATTTTTTATAAGGAGGCAATATCCATTTCATAAAATGAAAGCGCATTAAATCCTGCTTCATTCAAAGATGTAATATAACCCTCGATATCAATTTTGAAGTCCTTTGCAGTGTTTGCATCTACAAAAAAGATAGAAACACAGGCTTTGAATTATAAATGCGATTCATTAATATATCTACGGTTCACTTATGAGCAAATACTATTTGAAAAATTATAATCAGATTATAAAATGACATGACTATTCATGGGACATCCACAATTCAAACAAGAGAAAAGTTCAATCCCCCTAAAAGTTTCAATATTAAAGCATGCTCTATAAAAGGGACACTTAGTGTCTTTTTAAGAACATATTCTGCAAGGCCCTCTTTCAACTTGAAAGAGATTCAAATAATTTTTTTTTTTGTATCGATCTCTATTCTATTCATTATCTATCCCATAATTCTCAGACATATCGGTATGATGTAAATCTCTATTTTAGGCTAACTTCATGAGTTTGCTTCCTAGTTGTCCTCCTCCTTCTTTTGCAGCTTTCACTAAAATAAAATGATAGAATTACACTCTTCATCAGAAGGAAATTGTAATTCGAGTAAATGATCCTTAAAACATTTGAGAAAAGTTTCATGTTATTATCTCCTTTTAAGTAAATCAACTTAAATATCTGAAGACATTTAATTTAAATTAATTATGGACTTAATTGATACTAAAGTAATTGAGTTGAGTTCTAAAACAGGCATTCCAGATGATTAATTAAAAATTTTCATTTCCTTGATCCTTTGCACATTATTTGGATTCATTTTTAAATTATCCATCAGAGGTAATAAATTGAATAGATGATATAGGAAGGTAAGCTAGATTGATTGCAGGTTCAGTATTTGGTGTCTTAATCACCTACTATATTTATAGAAGTTAAATCATCAATGTGTTATTTTAGACAGTTGTGGTTTACATATTGGTTAAGGTTTTGGGAAAGAAAAGTCCTTGGCCTGTATTTGTGGAATCTATGATTTTTGTGGCTGCTCATCATATCTACAGATAATATACTGACTATGGAGGTTGGAAGATGGATGTCACTACGATTTTGATGATGGATACTCCAAAATGGACTGCGTTTGCCTTCTGTGTAAGTGATGGATTGAAAACATAATTGAGTAAAGAACAGGAAATTAGAAAAATCGTTAAATTGCCTTCTTTCTTTGAGTATTTCTCCTTTATTTTCTTCTTTGCTGGCAGTGTGTTGGGACCATGCTTTGATTATTATGACTTCGATTAATTCATCAATGAAGATAAAGAATATAAAAGTATTCCATCAACTATCAAGGAAACATTAAGATTATTAAAGAATGCAGTAATATGCATGGGTATCTTTTTGTTTACTGAAAAATACTTCCCTTTGCATTTTGTTACCACTGAAGAATTTGGAACATACAATGTTCTATATCAAACTCTTTGGTTTAACATTATGGTTGCAATACAAAGGACCAAATATTATGGTGGATGGCAATTGGGAGAAATGAGTATGGCTTCCTGTGGTATTACCTATTAAGGAGATGGAAAATTTGAGAAAATCAAGGCTGTTGATGTAGATTGGGATTTGACATATAATATGAAGGATAAAGTAGAGAAATGGAACATCTCCATTCAAACTTGGCTAAGAAGATATGTTTATACTCGTATTTACTCAGAAGAAGAAATGAAGAAGAGTCCATCTAAATAAAACATAGCTTATCAAATGACATATGTTGTGTCATCATTGTGGCATGGATTCTATATTGGCTATTACTTTTCATTCTTCCAATGGGCTATTATGAACACTGTCAATAAGGCAATATTCAGAGTGTCTTGCAATACCAATTATTTGAAAATATTTGAAACGAACCCATTAGCCAAGATTGTCAGATGGTATATAGCCAATACTGTCTTCAATGTATTTGGAATTACGTTTTTATTATTGAGTGTGGATCCAATTCTGAAATTCTATAGCAATATTAGGTATGTTCCTCACATTTTGTTATATGGCACATATGCTTTCTTCTTAATCACTAATTTCGGTTAGAAAAGCAAGAAATAAAAAGAATGAAAGTATGTATTTTATAAAAATATGTAAATGTTGAATTACTCTTAGCTTATCTTTATCAAATTATCTATGATAAATTATTTAATTTAGTCTTTTGAGTTAAAAATATTTAATATCTACTAATATAAATATTATTGAAAGCATCATTTTTATCTTCGTTTGGGATTATTATTCGGTGAAACTGAGTTAGTTATTTCAGATGACTATTCTTTTGTTCTTTGAACTTCACTGTTCCAAAGAATTTGATCTGGTATCCTTGAAGCAGGATGCTATTACTTAAGAGCATGCGGCATCAAAATGATATCATGAGAGGACGGAACTGTAGGTGGTGGAGATGAAATTATTATGTCATTCTTTGTGTATCGGTGTTTCTAAATATGGCACCCCATTATTAATATATTAAAATAATGAATTGTAAATCTGCATCATATATATTTATTTATGACACTCTCTAGAATTTAAATCTGTCTCACAATATCAATGAACAATCTATACAGGCGTATTGCATAAAATTGTAAATAACGTACTTTTAATTGATATACAGCAATTCATTTTATTAGATATTCAAAATAGACAACTTCACAATTCCATGTTTTATTTTACCAAAGTGATATGGTTGTGTTTATATTATGTTTTTAATCAATTAAATCATCTATTCAAATATATGTGATAATTTCATTTTCTGTCAGAATAATTTTAATAAAATATGACAAAATATAATAATTATTACTACTTAGTTAATTTTAATGTTATCTGCATATAGTATCTATGAATGATTTCAATAATATATAAAATAAATCGATAATATGAGGATGAACTCATGAAGAGAAGATAATATGAATAAATGATGGCTCCTAGTGGAAATCCAATTGGTGAAATATTTATTATACATCTGATTCAATTAGAACAAATGTCAAATTATTTCAAATTTGATATCATAATTCAAGGTAATCATTCCGTTGTAAATTATTCAGATTAAAATTTATAATCATAATTATGGCATTCAATTGATAGATAAGTTTCTTGCATAAAAAATATACCAAAGAATAGCTTTTTTAAGTATATGCTTTAGATACGTTTTTTTTTAAATATATTCCTATTTAGATATAATTTGTAGAATTGTGAAAAAAATCAATTTGTTATAATAATTTGTAAAGTTCAAGTCTATAGAAGATAATATAAATCATGAGATAATAATTATCATAATACTTAAGATGAAGTAAATATTATATATCTACTAACATTGTGATTAAATATCTAAAGTAATTAGTGATGAAAATATTAAAAAATAATATATATAATTAAAATTATATCAGTTATTTAAAATATTAATCATTGATGATCATAAACCATCTAGTAATAATCTCATCATTTTAATTTTCGAACTTTAATAATTTAATATTGAACTTTACCTGCTTTACTAATTATGAAGAAGATAATTGACTTATAATAAAAATATTAATACTTATAAATAATTTAAGCAATAAAATAAATATAAAATCACTTTTTTTTCTTAGGTAAAGCCTTCTTTTTTTTTGGTAAACTCTTTAAATAAACATCGTATCTTCTACTCTAAACCATTATTAAGAATTAATTACATTTAAATCCTCCTTTTCCATAATGGCCCTTTCTCTGATCCTTTAATACATTTCTTCAAGATCCCAAGATCTGATTAGATGATCATACGAACCAGAATAAAGGAGTCCATTAGCAAGTGCCAAAGTTGTAACTCCATCAATGTGTCCTGAGAAATCCTCTTTCATTTCCCAGTTTTTCATTTCATAAACCCTGATTTTTTTATCATCAGTTCCTACATACAAATAGGGATCATGGACAAGCATGCACAAAGCCCATCCATGTAAACCAACAATGACTTTAATAGGTTGTGGATTAGGCTGGTCTAATTATGAGAGTTCATAGATGTGTATGAAATTATCAATGGTGCCAAGAATCAAAAGATTCTTATGTACTAAATATGACATGATAGTAAAATTAGGGAATTGAACACTTCTAAGAATGGATTGTTTGTAAGGATCTATTTAGACAACAGTGTTTTTGCCATATAATAAATTAATTTCCTTATCGAAGTTCACATTCATCATATTGATTGGATATCCTATATTGAATATAACTTCGCATTCATTGCTAGTGGTATCCCAGAGTCTCACAGTGCCATCCAAAGAACTAGATGCCAGTTATCTGATATTTAGGAAATGAATAGATGTGATTTAAGCCTTATGTCCTTGATAAGCATAGACTGGCTCTCCAGTTTTGATGTTATTGGATTTGATGAAACCATCGTCATATCCGACATAGATGTTGAATTCAGAGAATGTTGCAGCACATATGATATTTCCCTTCATGCTTTATTGATTTTCATCTTAATCCTATACTGTAGTGTCATCCGAGATTTTGGATATCAGAAATTTGGATGCAATTTGTCTATTCAATAGATCCCAACCTTAAGTAGTTATATAAATACTTTTAACGTTTCCATCCCTGGAAGCAGAGTAAAGGTAATTGCCATTATTTCCATAAGGACTAACCAATGTAATGATGGCATCTTTGTGTCCTTTGAGTCTGTCTTTAAATGCCTTGCTCTTAATCTGTTTAAGAGGTTTTGCAAATTATTATTAATACATATAAATATGAATATTAATATTAATATATATATGAATCAATGTGACACTGATTTAATAATGTTGACTTGTTATTGATCTTCATTTGAAAATGAAATGGCTTCATAATTACCTACAATTAATAATTAAAAATACATTTTTCCTTATCAATACCAGCTACTTCAGCATCTGAATCAATTCTCAAAACAGCAAATCCTTTGAGAACTATCAAGATGAAGAAAACAAAGAAGGCAACCCAGACTGTGATAATCAATAATCCTAGCAATTAGCATCCCAATAATTTCATTCCTTTTCCATAGAATAATCCTCCATTGACATCCAATAATCCTGTAAATAAGACTCCAATGAATCCGCCATGCTAAAATATGAATTAATTGAATACCAAGAAAATAGGGACAACTTAGACTGGATCATCTAATTTGACTTTAGGTAAAGCTGTAGCTGTTAAGGTGTAAACAATGCCAGCAATAGAAGCAACAATAGTAGTAGCCCAAATCTAAGATTCATGAGCAGCTGCTGAACTGGCCACCAATCCAGCCAATATTCCTCTAGAGATTGAAAATAGACTTGTTGTTTCTTTTGTAAAGTATCTTGTAAGAAAACTCCAAAATCCTCCTGCAGCTCCAGCAACCAAAGTATTAACTGCCACCAATCCTTGAACATATGGAGTTGCTTAGCCAGATTAAATTTAACCGCCATTTATGAACATCCATGTAGCAAAGAGTATGACTGTTCCAAATGCCACATATATTGAAGTGAATGGTTAGAAGTTCAAAGAAGAATTTGGATCAAATCTATATTTTCTTGGTTTGGATACAACTGTCACTACTAAGGCAGCAACACCAGCCGAATAGAAGATGAAACCTGATCCTGCCATGTCTTTGTATCCTAATTTAGTTAACCAACCGTTGGAATTTGTCCAATGAACTATTGCAGGTGATACGAATCCTGAATAAAAGAGAGCCAAAACACCCCAGGCTAAGAATGTTAATCTTTCAGCTGCTCCACCTGATACAATTGATACTCCAATGCAGGATAATGTAGCTTTGAACACTAAAATAATAATTAAAATTAACTACCGAAATTTGAATAATCATTTTATGCTTCTGTTGCTGCCCAATTGTATGCTCCAAGCTTTGTGCCTCCCAAGAAGAATGTTCCAAAATCATCACCATAAGAAAATCCATAGCCGAACTATTTTGAATTATTAATAAATATCTTACCAACCAATATATCAATACTGTCAAACACATTCCGAGAAATACCTTTATAACTATTGACTAAGCATTCTTATATCTAACAGATCCAGCCTCCAAAAATCCAAAACCCAATTAAGAAAATGCTAGTACAATGCCAGCAATCAGCAACCAATCTTCATCTAAATGGCTTCCCCCAGTTGCTCCTGCTGATGGATTTGGGGCTGAAGGAGGAGGATTTGCTGTGTTAGGACTGTCAAGATAATGTTGTTACATAGTTTGAAATATAAATTAATAATTTAACAATCATTTTTCTTTAATCTTAAATAAGGGAACTTTGGCCTTTGATAATTTATTTGATTTTGATTTAGGTTCAATCAATCCTCTTCTAACAAAACCATCAAATTCACTCTTCACCAATAAATCTCCTTGAGTAACATGTCTCAAGTGACTCTTCAATTAGTCATCTAATACAAATTCATCTTAAGTTACTTCCACTCTACAATTAGATCTTAATACTTACTTTTTATTTCCTACTTTTATTGGCACCAAGTTTCTCCCTGACAGTTTTCTTGCTCTTTCTAATAGTCTTTTCTCTTTTCTCTTCTATTTCCTTTTTTGTTATCTCAACTTAGCCTCAGCATTAAGTTCTTTCTTAATTTTTTTGACTAATAAGAGTTCATGATTTTTTTGTTTTTCAATTAACCTATCAACCACTTCTTTTCCATGAATTTTTTAAATCTTGCTCATCTTTTTCTATTTCTTTTTCTCTCGCTCTCTAATATAGTTGCTTGATTAAATACCTTTGTGTCAACTTTTAGGCTTTCTCTGCTTCTGTCTCTTCATTTTATAATCTCTGATGAGATCTAATTTCTTTTTTTACTACATCATCCAACAATTCATTATAATCTTTTAATTAAGGATTATATGATTATCCTGGATGAGGGGTTACAACAGCCTTCACTTCGGTTCCTAACACTTTCTTTTAATTTCCTTCCTCTGACCATAGATCTTAAATTTCATTCTGCTATTGTATTTATTATAGCTTTTTCTATTATTCTGCCATATTTTAGATGGTTATTTTTTCCTATTAGGACTAATTCTTGGGATCTATTGGTTTTTTCTTAAATCTCTCCTTATTTTCATAAATATTGACTGGCTAAGCATCAACTTAAAAATCCACAGGCTTAGCATCATTTTATGTAAAATCTATATTTTCGAATTCACCCATCTCTACTATGATGTTCTTTCTCCATCGCTGTGTTCCTTGCCGAGCTCTCAAGTTTTTCTTCTTAATATTTAGCATGTATTAATAATTTTATTATTCTCATAGGATTTAATACACGAAATTATAATTAAGATGCTGAAATAATCCATTTAAAATTAATTTCGCTTCATTTGGCAAATGGTTGGAGGTGGTATGTATTTAAAAAAAATTAATTCCTATATATATATACAATAAAATACTTTAATATATTAATGAACGAATAAATAAGAATTACAAGAAATTGTTAAACTAGTATTATAAATATTAATACTAATAATTCAATAGAATCTGTGATATTAATATTATTGTTGTTGCATGATATAATATTGTTATTATTGCTGTAACTGTTACTACATATTATTGTACCATTATTATTATTAAATTTAGAATTGTTACTATTATTATTACTATTATAATTAATATTAATTATAATAATATGATAACTAATTATTATAATTAAAAATTTAATTATTATTATATTCTTCTTGTTATTATTTGTGTTATTGACACTATTTAATTAATAAATGTGTATCTATTTAATTCTCATAGTCCTTTTCATTTAATGTTACTTACTTAACAATAGCTTATTCTTCTTAATTTTCAGATTGTTAATTTATTCCGCCTTTTTGATTTATCAAATTAGGATACAGCTATTTGTAATAGTACTTCAGTCTTGAAGTCTCTTCTACTAGAGTATAATCCACTGGTATTTGATCTTGTTTCGTGTATAACATAAATATGTCGTTTTCAAATATTTGAGTTATTTCATATACCTGTGAAATGATTAAAAAACTCTTACTTTTTTAAATTCCAGTTCGTTGGTTTAATCAATTTAAAATAGTAAAGCCATTCCTTTGTCTGAATATTGTCTTTCTTGATTTGATTTCATCAAAATGCTCTATACTTTTAGAATTATGTCTTTTGAATTTTTTGCAAGATTTTATTTCTTTAAGTATAATTTTACACATTTGTCAAATTTAATAGCCAAGAATAACGGATGTTTGATTTTATGTCTAATATTCGGAGCTGTGAAGTAATTAATTAAGCCTTGGATCGTATTATCGACTTTCAATAAATTTTTGGGCTGATTCTTTCTTTCTTTCTTGACAAAATCTTTGTCTAGGTTTTCTGGTAAAAATGGATCAATAATTAGTTGAATATTATTATTGAGAGCCTGTTATCTGGCGTGCTTACGAGAATCTACAAATATATAGGGGGAACATTTTGCATCGATCACAAATTACTGGCTGCTATTGATTTAAGTAATGACCACGAGGATTTAGAACTTTTGATACTTAAAATTATGTATAACACAATACTTCATTCTTATACGAAGTTGTATTGAACTTTAATTATCTTAATATTGAAATCCCATTTCTAAAGACCCCCTCTGTACAACCTTTGGCAGCCAATGCTCTCCATTTCCATTTTATCGTAGTTATGTTTAACAATATAGATATTTGCTACTATGGTTAGTGTATTCAGTATGTGATGTTCCAAATCATTGTCGATCTACATGATATAAAAGATGTTGTTACTTTTAATTAACACTCTAGCTCAGGGATGTTCCAAGATTTGTGCCAATTCCAACCAATGTTTGCACTAAAAGGAAAGGGTTTCCATAACTTTAAATCAAGCGAATAGCCCTGATTCGAGTTCTAATACTTAATGACATTAGAAGCTTCTATTCTGAGAGTTTGCCCATTATGAACAATATTATTGTTAAATGGCTGCCATTCCCATTTCACAACTTCATTAGTTGATAACATAGACTAATTTTAATTATGCAAAGATTCAATTTATGTTAACATTTATATATATGAATATAAAGTAATGCAAAATAAAGATTAATTAACACTTCAAAAACCTGAGTGAAAAAATTTTAACTAAGCCATAAAATCTAATTAAACTTTATTTCATTCAACTTAATTATTAATAAAACATAATTAAGATAAGTTTATTTTAATTATTAAACCATCCCTATGTTTACATAATAATTATTTAAATTTTTTCTCCCTGTTATTGAATCAGATAAGTTATTTCGATTAATGAGTATCCTCTCTTTGCTTAGTTAGTTGAATTATGTCTAGCTTATTTAGCATGAAATAAAGGAGTACATTATAATTTCGAGAATCCTTAATTGTCATAAATCACCTAATAAACTATTCTAATCAAACAAAATTTGAATAATATAACGAAGATTAAAAAAATAATAACATAAAATTACTTTTTTTATTATTAATATTACTAAATATATACTTCATTATTGTGCTATCTCATGCTCTTTTTCAGCATCCTCTTCCGTATAAGGAATTGGAGGGTCCACATCTGGGTAGAGACGCTTTGTTAAAATATAACAATGAGGTGGATCAATGTCTGTATAATAATTTTTTTTGTATGTTGTTTTCTCAAACCCATGTCTGGAATAAAATTGAAATCCTATTTCATTGCTAACCCACATGTGCAAATATATAGTTCTTATCTCTTCATGAGATCTAACTCTATTTATTAATTCATTCAAAAGTTATGTGCCAAATCCCAAACGACGGTATGCATCCAAAACACCAAATGTCATTATATAGGCAGTCTTTTTCCCATCCTTTTCCTCTATCCTTGCTGTTATAGCTCCAACTGCAATATCATTATAGTAACCTACACAATACTAATTTTAAATACCAAGAGTAGAAAAGTCAGAATAGGTTAGAATTTTTATATAAAAGTTTTCACTATATGTTACTGGCAAGGTCTTCTAGGTAATGACTTTGAACTATTCCAAATTTTTAAAGTTGATATCTCCAAAAGTCAATTTAGGCTTCTATTCCATTAATAAATATATAAAAATTAAAAAATAGCCGAAATGAATTTGACAAGAACTTCTTGTTTAAAATACTTTTCACTAAAAAATTGAAAAGTACAGAGTACATTGATCAAGTTAGATATTTAAGAAATATATTCAATATTCAAATGCAAATAATTAAAAAAAAGATCAATTTAGATAATATTTCCATTATTCATCCTATATATGTTGATCTAAACCTGTATTATTTTTAAGTATTGATAAATAAGATTGATTAGATTCAAAACGGAATTCTTAGAGAATTTTCATTGTTTTTTTAGTAATTTTATTATTTTGAATACATAAAATGTTTAACTAAATACTCGATTATACAAGCACAAAAAGTAGAAAATATAATAATGTCGAAATCTTTGAGAAAAATTCATTAATATATATTTTTAACAACCACCAAAAACTTTGAATGAAATACTAATCATCATATAATAAAATTATTTTGAATCATTATTATAATGCAATTAACTCTATTTAAGGTACAAATGGGACTGTTGTTTTCTTATATGAAATTTAGTATTTTTAATTTTGCATCAATTTCATAGCATTTACTGATGTCACAACACAAATCTAGAAAAATGATAATAAACTATAAAATACCATAACCAAATCCTTTGATTGATCTTACATTTATTAAGGCAGAATTTTATTTTCTTTGGCTTAGGCAAAAAGCTATTAAGCTTCACTTAGGGATGAACTGACAAATTTGAGTGTGTCTTAGAATGATCCATAAGAATTCATCTTTTGGGTGTATTCTTCAAATTTAACGGCTTTGATGTAGTAACAAGTATCGAAGATCTTCATTCTATTGGAATATCTATGATTCATGTCTTGGACTTTCTTGATTAATCCATTTTCCATTAAGGTATAATACAATCTGGATAAGCCCTCTTATTATTATAACATCTTACTCTAAAAAGACAATTCAATCCTTTCCAATATTGAATTTCAGAGTGCATTTGATCTATAAATGGAGATACTTTTGGTTTCTTTTTATTTTGGTTCTACAATTACTCTCTTTGTGAATTGGTCAATTGACTAACATAGTTGCTTCTATTTCTATCAAGAATGGTTGTCAAATACTCTAAATAGAAGTAAATGCTAGCATAATCTACATCTGAATAGAGTTCTAGATCAAAACCATATTATAGTTATTGAATCATGGATTATACAGCAATCTCATAACTGAAGATCATTAAAGGATTTTTGTTTTTAAAGATGTCTTGGTCAATTTAATTGCTATGATGGACAAGTATTGACAAATGAGAATAATTTTTATGGAAATCTCTACTTTTTCTAAATTTAGATCTTAATTATTTAATGATGTATTCATAGGTGACAGGTACTAGACAATCTTGATATTCCTTAAATACATTTTGATATAATTAATCAAAATTCTGGGAAAACATTTTATTAAGTGTTCCGATAATAATATTAATCCAAGGAGTTTAATGAAAGAATAAGAATTAATCATATTTAAATAGATTTTATTCTAGATAAGCTCTAATTAAAATATTCTTAGGATAATCGTGAATTAGAGCACAAATTTTCTATTGAATAATAAAGTAATTGCGTTCTGCACTTAAATCAAGTACTGCTTCTAATTAATTAAGCATGATGCTAAAGTACTCATATGGATTTTCAATATATGGTATTTTCCTCATACTGATCATAGATTTGAGATGCTTAAGAATTGTTGCACTCTAATAATTTGACATGTCCTTTCCCATAGCCTTAGTTGAAACAACAGCATCAAATCTTTTCCTGATAAATTCGATATGATCTGTTATTTATTTTTATGATTCAGCATTGAATGGCTATTAAAGACATTGCACAATTAAGCAAAAACCCTTAAGTACTTTAATTCTTGAGGACAGGGCATCAGCTATAGTTAATTGCTTAGATTTCTTAACTTTGCCACTTAATTCGGTATCCAAAGGATTTAATGTGGTTGTCAATAACTCTTAAATAGTGGGTATTCTTTTGTTTCTGAAACTGAAAACTGATGGATTATAATCCTCTTCTCTGAGGAATGGAGCATCTTTGATTGTTTTGAAGATTTGACTTCCTACTGTATTCAAAGTATCAAACAAAGCTCTAACAAATGGATTGTCCCATAAAGAATCATCATACTAATATACTAATGTGTAAATGGTCTAAGCTAATGCATTTCCATTTAGCCAACATGTAATTTTCTGAATTACTAAATCAAAGAGTCCTATAAGCTAAATAATTAGTTTGAACAAGCTTTACTTCTTCATTAGTAAGTTGTGATCCTGATTTTATCTAATTAGATTGCAATAATTTTTAAGGAGTATCTGCATCAGCCAAACCCAGTTTTACATCTATTTTTTTGTCAAATAATTCGGTAGCTGACATAGCCTCAAATAATGAAAATCCTTCTGCTAAGAGAATTTCTCCATTTTTTAGACTCTTAAGTTCTGCTGTAATATCCATTAATTAAATTAATGTCTAAAAGTAAGGCGCAATTTTATAACGACTAAGACATTGAATATGAGCAATCTCACTATACAACTAATCTATTCAACACTCATAAATATACTATATAAAAGATGCCAGGGTTTTAATGATATAGAATTAGAAAACCTCAAGCATAAAGGAATTCCATTAAATAATTAGAATACTCAAAATGTCTAAATAACTTAAAAAATGGAATCCACATTCAATTAATACATCCAAACATTCTAATTTCATATTGAATTAATAAATATTCACAATGAATGTATATAACATTTTAAGAAAAAAAATTTATATTTTTTTGTTTTTGTGTTATTACATGCAAAGATTGTATACTAATTTTGTAGACAAATTTGATTATGAGTAGTTTCTAAAATTTGAATATTTAAAAACAATGAAAACTTATTTAGATTATTACAATAATTATTTAATGTTAATGACAAAAAGGACACGCGTCTTCATCATCCTATTTTGAGAATTGTAGGATGAATTATTTCAATATTTAATATATATATATATATATAGTTTAGTCAGATAGTTTTAAGTCCATGCGTAACAAGAGTTTGGAGACCAGACTTGATTCCGCAATTGGATTTAATTCTCGCTCATCATTTGGTCAATCTGACCAGGGAAGGATCGAGGAAAATAAATACATATTATTTGTTTAAATATTTATTACAAATCTGGGATTTTATGGGTTATTAAAATAAATAATGAATTTTGAAATTCTTGGGCTTCTTTCATAATTGCCATCTAAGAAATATGTCAGGAAACTATTCGAATATGCTTATTTATTTAGAAACAAACTCAACTCATTTTAAGAATATATGGAAACACCTGTAAGTGCTTCATTGCCATAAGATTTATAAATATCCGAGAAATAAGCTCATACTCTCATTATAGGATTGGTAAGGCTTTTAGAGAATGCAGAATTGCTATAATGGAATGAGTAGGCAATATTGTCGATCTTTCCATCTAATTTTGATTAGTAATTAGCTAAATTGTTAACAGATTCTATACTTTAGATCTCTGAATGTAAGATATTTCTTAAACTCTTAATAGTGTGTGATAAGATTACTAATCGAGAAATTTGTTAGGCAGATTCGCTGATTGATATTGATTGGAGAGTGGATATATAAATTTAGACGCACAATTAATAGAAGGTATTGTTCTATATAAATAATTAATAGGTTAATATGCCTGTGTTATTCTTATAATTGGAGACTTTAAATACATAAAAAAATACAAAGGAAAATGTGACATTTCAGCTTAACTAAAATGAAGTTAATAATTTTCACAACAATCTGTGTAAAATAAAAGAATAATTATAAACTTTGGCTTAGTGATATTATTTATATAAATTTAAAATAAAATGTCAGAAAAAGTCAAAATTCTAATGTTAGGAGAAGGTGCTGTTGGCAAATCATCACTCCTAAATCGTTATGTGGACGAAAAGTTTTCTGAAAATATCCAAGCTACGTTGGGAGTGGAGTATAGATAGAAAATTCTTACATAAGGAGAAAAGCAATTGATTGTTTAGGTTTGGGACACTGCAGGTAACTATTGGGTCTAGTGTTTAGGTTAAGAGAGATTTAGAGTTATTACTCCAATTTTTTATAGAAATGCTTAAGCAGTGTCTTTGGTTTATAGTGTTGTGGATAAAAACTCATTTTAATAAGTTTAAACTTGGATTGATAATTTAAAAGATTAAATTGATTGTGAATAAGTCTCTATAGTTTTAGTTGCAAATAAGTGCGATATAGCATAAAGGGAAGTAACTACTTTGGAAGGCTAACAATTAGCTTAAAAAGTATTTTGTTATTCTATCCAAGTATTAAATTAAATATTTTGAATGTTCAGCAAGGACAGGCGCATAAGTAAAGGAAATGTATACAGAATTAGTTTAATAAATACTCATTAGAAGAGGATAAATTAATAGTTCTCAAGGCGGAGAAAAAAATCAATAAAACATTCAATTAGATGGAGGTGAAACATAACCATAAAAATGTTGTTGATAAATTTATAATCAAAAAATTCTTTATGTCATAATTAAATTTAGAGAAAATTATTATTATCTAAATTATTTCTAAAATAAAGTTTTAGAATGAAATATTAATAATTATAGGTGCAAACTAAATATTATTACATCCTAAATCACATATTTCAAGAAATATAGCTTTTAGAATATTCTACCTTCTATCATAAGTAAGGAAACTATTATAAATAAGTCATGCTTCTACTCATTTCCTATGGCAATCTGCCTTAGATGGAGTGTAACATGGGTGATAAGGATCTCAAATTTCTTGAATTATAAGTATCAAGGCTGAATGTAACGGATTTTTGGGACTTTACATACTATGAACTACAAAAGGATGAATTGTGTTATTAGTTAGTAGTTTTAAGAATGCTTTTGGGCCTCTGTATTTTTTATAGTGAAACCTTTTATTTATTTTTTTTTTTATGATTACGTTTTTAACCATGAACAGTGGCACTTCTATCCTTGCTATTTAGGTACAAAACAAAGTCAAATGAATTCTCCAATTGAAAATCCGATTTTTCATCAAAATATGAAGGGCATTCAATTGAATTTAATTTTTTGATATCTTCAATGGTCGACTCTAATTTTACTTTTCTGATAGTCTAATTTCTTTGATTATCTGGAGAATTATCCAAATTAAATTCACTTTTAAAAAAGTCTTCTTCAAAAGTATCCAGATTTTATGTTATATTTTATATACAAGGTTCTAAGATCAGCTTATTTGGACAATGTAACTTAGGATATCCATTTATTTTTATAATTTTTGATCTCTTATTGTCTAATCTATGCAAGCAAGCATTCCCCATTAAATTAAATCTAATAATTTGGTATTAATTTAATTGTTTAAGCCTGCTCTAAATTTAGAGAATATAATCATTAAAAACTCATTATTTTATAAATCAACCTAATTAAATAAGTATTATCGAATACAAATATTTAAACAATCAACTTGTTCTAAAAATAAAATTTAATAAATAAAGAAATTATATCTAATGTTAAATAAATTAAATAAGTTATAAGTGCAGTTTACAAGTTTTATATAGATAAAAAGAATTTTAATATATTTTCGAAGAGGTTTTAAAATGTAAGAAAATAATGTTAATTATTAAATTATATAATTATTATTTAAATGGAAGCAAAGAATAAAACTAAACCAAAATCAACTAAATAAAAAGCAAAGCTTTAGTAAATTATGTCAATCAGTTTTGAAAATATCCAAAAAAAGAAAAATTAGCCAGAAAATCAAAATGCCCAAATTTAAGAAGATTAAGATGAATAAGCATAATAGTTTTAGAAAATTTCAGAAGATGAATATTAAAATTAATTAGATGCTTATTATCAAGAATAGAATAAAAGATTTTCCTTTAGTTAACCAATGCCTGATTTGTATTAGGTTTAATAACCGTAACAATAGCATTAATATTAATAATTATTGAATAAGTAATAAGATGTTCAAGCATCACCTAAAAACAAACAATCCTAAAATTAAAACTATTCCCAATAGATTTACAGATAGCAATAGTAATAGCTGTAGTAAGAATAGAATATCAATGAATCACATTTCACTAATATTACCTAGTAAAGTCCTGTATTTATTCCATAACTTCCCATAAAGTAGACGGTCTAACAATAACTTGATAGGAGCACTAAAAAATCAAGTCATCAACATGAGGAATTATTTTAAATTACCTCATAATTGAATGACAGTTAAGACATACCACAAATGAAAAAGATGTCCATAAAATCTGAACACATTAAGAAATAATCCAGATAAAATAATTCAAATACAAATAATATTAGTAACATTTTAGATAACTTTTTAAGTCATCGATAAAAGGTAACTGATTAATCTGGACTTTATTAATCAGAATTATTTGAAAATGCCTAATTTTAACATTTTGGTGGAGGTTAAAATGAATAATCTGTAATTTAATAATAATCTCTTTTATAATCTATACATAATGAAACCATAGAGATTGTTAAAGATCAAATCTAATAATATCATTTTGATGATATTTATTAAAATGCAAGGAATGATCATTCTTTGCAAAAGTCACTAGTGAATGATAAAGATGAGGAAGACTTAGATAATTTATTATAAGATTTATATGAATGTACGACAAAATAAATTCCAAAATAAATCATAGAATCTAGTCCAAAACTGGTGAATTAGCAGACAAAGGAAATAATGAACAATGTCTTTGAAAATGTTCCCTAAGATAAATAATAATAAAATGCTAAACCTGTTTCCTATCTAACAGGAAGTAAAATAATTAGCGAGTAAAAAAATGAGGATTAGAGTCCTGCGTATAAAAATAAGCTTGAGGATGAAGTAACCAAATTTTCCACTTAAGAATAAAATAAGAAGATGAAAATTGAAGATTTTTTTAGTAATAAATAGTAATCTTCTTCTAATCAATAGAAAGATTAAGTGGTTAAAAACCAATAAAATAGTAATAAAGAAACATTTCAGTATTAATCTATATAAGACAAGTTGAAAAATTCAATTTAGACCAAAGAGGCTGAGAATAAAAATGTTTAATAATAATCATCACAAATGAGTTTCAACACTAAACCTTTTTAAATAAGTTCTACTGATAGAAATTACAAAGTAAAATAAAGCTTTGGATATGAACTAACATTTAGATAGCCTCAAAAACATTTACTCACTATTTCACAATATCTTTTTAAATATTCAAAATTAATACAAGAACCTAATTTGAAAAGATTATCAGAAATCAAGGTTGATACTGTTATTGGTAATAATAAAAATCATTAAATAATATGTGAATAATATGATGCTTAATAATTCAAAGACCTATTGAAAGAAAAGGATGCTGAGTTTTATTAATTGTGTTCTACAAATTTTATCCTATTTTAATAGGGAGATTCTAATGAGAGTAATTCAGTCTGGGTAAAATGCTATATGTTATCTGAAAATCTATTATCTTACTTATTTTCTTTAGGATTTATTGTTGATGATGTCAATTTTCAAAGCATCTTAAAAGAGACTTATTTATATTAAGAAAAAAATAAGAAAGACAAATACTAATTGGATTTGGAGGCTGCTTATTATAGTGTATATTAATCTTTTAAATTGATTTATGCAGATTTCAACAAATTATTGGAGGTAGTAAAGTTTTTTTCAGATCAAGAAACCAATCTAATTGAAATATCCACAGCCAAATTAGTATTGAGTAAAATGATGAATGAGTAGTAAATGAATAATGTTTTTAAATGGCCAGACTCTTCTGTTAAATATGATTAATTGTTTAAAGTTTTAACTTTGTTACCCTATTGATCGAAGAATTATAATTATATTAATGATGTATGTATATTATTTGTTGATATATTTGAATTCTTAACTATTATTAATTACATGAATATAATTAGTTATAAAATATATATATTAAAATTAATGAAATTATTTGAAGGTCAAGAATAACCAAAACTTAAATTAAAAATAAATAAGCAATTTGCTGAAAAGTATTAGAAGAAAAAGGAGAGGGAACTCTTAGATAAGAAAGGAGAGATTCTAGACTAGGAGGAAAGCAGTGAAGATTAAATTCCAGAAGATGAGAATGGTGATTTGATTAATGATAAAGTAACCTAAAAATTTATTGAAACTCTTGCCAAGATAAGATACAAGCATCCTGATATTTATTAAAATAGAGAGATATTTTAGGAAGAGGACTTTGACGAACCAAATATAAGAAATAAGGATTAAAAGAAAGTCACATATGCTGATCTATAAGGATAAGGAATAGAAAATGAAGAAGAGGAAGTGGAAAATGATGAATATGAGCCAAATGTTGGTTTGACTCCAAATGAGGAATAATTACGATTGAAAAATGCTTTTATTAATGCAGCTAAAAATTCAGGCAAATAACAAAAGGATTTATTGAAAGTAAAGTAGAAAACAGTTAAGGAAATTGAAGACGAGAACAAGGAGTTTGACAAGTTATTAAAAAAGTAGAGACCTGAAGAGACGGATATTTTATAAAGGTATTGGGGAAATGAAGAAGAATTGGATGAAAAAGATAAATTCCTTAGAAAATATATATTAACAAAAGGATGGATTGATAGAGATGATGTGAATGAAATTATTGATTCATCTGAGGATGAGGAAAGGATGGATTAATTTGAAGAAAAATATAATTTTAGATTTGAAGAGGAGGGAGGAAATCAATTGATCACTTATGAAAGAGATTTAACCGATACATTGAGATAGGAACCAGAAACAGCAAGACATAGATAGAGATTAGCAAAGGCTTAGAGAGAGATGGAATAAAAACAATAATTGGAAAAAGAATTAAAGTAATTGAAGGCAGCAAAAAAGAATGAAATTATTTAGAAGTTGTAAAAGATACAATAGATAGGAGGAGTTAAGGATGCCAAATTATTATTAGAAGAAATTGATAAGAAAGATTTTTAACCAGAAGAATTCGATAAAAAGATGGAAAAGATATTTGATGAGGAGTATTTTGAAGATGAAGATGAATCACCTGAAGAATTGGAAGAAAACCAAGAGGAGCAAGGTTAGGAGGGAGAAAAAAATGATCAAGGTCTTGATGTAGATAATGTTATAAAGATTAAGCCTACAATTCCAATTATTATGAAAAAAAACTTGAATTAAGAGTAATTAATATATTTATATTCATAGAGAGATGGATGCATTAAAAGATGAAGATGTAACAATTTGGTGGTTTTGTGATGCTTGTAAATAAACCATTGAACCAAATCATTTCAGATGGGATTGCCAAATTTGTGAAGATTATACTCTTTGTGAGAATTGTAATAAAGAACATCCTTAACATAAATTAAAAAAGTCTCTTGTTCCCAAAAGTTGTAAACCTCCCAAAGCAGAAGAAGCTGAATAATTAATTAGTTAATTTAAGTATTGTAGAGCATGCTAAATTAAAATGACAGAGGAAAATGATTATTATTAAAGTAAGAAAGATTTCTTGTGTGTCGATTGCTTTGAGAAGGACAAGAATTAAAATAGATATACATTCGTAGAGGCTTAGGTTGTAGATGTGAATAAATTACTTGATGAAAACCCTGAGTAATTGAGAGAGAAGCTGCCTTCTAATATGAAGAACATTATTGATGAATACTATAGTTTAGATTTTGAAGATATCATAGCAGGAGGAATCAAGACTAAGTTTCAATATATTGATGTTGAAAAGTAAGATTTTGGTTTGACTAACGATGACTTGCTTTATGCAGATGATAAACTATTGAATTAGTATGTTTCAATAAAGAAATTGGCTCCTTACAGAGATAGTTCAATTAAAATTAAGAAGAATAAGGCTGAAAAATTACTAGCTTAAATTAGGAAGAGTACTAAGAGAAATAAAAAATTAATTCTCAAAGGAGTTGATCCAAAAGAATTTTAGAAGAAGAAATAAGAAGAAGAATAATAAGAATAAAAATAAAAGGTTCAATTAGAAGTGGAAGACGTAGTAGAAAATACAACCCTGTAGGTCAATTCAAAGAGACTTAAAACATATGGAGTGTGATTTTGCATATTCTTGTTGTTAATAGCAATGTTTGTTGTTTTATTAAATAATCTAATTGATCTTGCTGTAGCTTTTAATTATTAAATTAATTTAATTAATTAAAAACTGTTTTAATAAGACAAATTTGAGTATATGTTTCAGTGTAATTAGTGTTCTTGCAAAACCTGAATTTCTGTTTTTCTTTTGTCTAAATTAATTTAAAAAGTAATTGGGAGCTTAAACTATTTCATCAAGAGGCAGAGTATAAATTAGTTAATCCTATTTAAGAATTCAGTTGGAATATAGAGTTTTGATGATTAAAAAGTGTTTATATTAAAGTTTCTTATTACAAATTAATTGCCTAATGTCTGATAAAAGCAGTATAGAACCTCCATGCCGAAGATTTTTAGGGAATGATCATAACTATATTAATTTCAATCTCATACAGGCTCACCAAAAGCTCAGAGATAGTGGATGCAAGAGAATAAATTCGATTGTAAAATAACATATAAGTTAGAAATTCTTAACAAGGATAAATTGCAAAACTGATGCTTCCATGATCAAAGTTGGACCTCCTAAGCATGACGTTTTACGACTTACCTTTAGGAAAAGCTAAATGCAGAGAGGATGGATATTTGGCCAAAGTTTTATATCTGATTATAGAAGGGTAGTACTTAAATGAAACTAATCCGGCATTCGAACAGTAGCTTTAAACCATCCTAACTAAAAACGAATAAGATGAAAAGCTTATTCGAATTGATTAAAAATAAATATAAGAAATCTAGAATGATTTGACATATTCTGAAAGATACGTTGATTACTTGAATAATAAATATCATATACCACAGGATTATTCACAAAAAATTAAAAAAGTAACATCACATTCATATTTTAGATATAATAATTGAAGTAGTAGGTAAAGTAGGAATTAGTGATTAGTCCACAAACATCACCTCGAAAAATCATCTTATAAAAGTCTTAAACATTTCAATTAAGCCCTAATCATTGCGTAGAACCTTCCCTATTTATTAAAGATTCTTATGGTGCTAGAAGAGCTTCGAAGCTATAAAAGGCTGAAGTGGATAGCATAGTTGATAGTTTAAGAAAAGAATCAAAAAAGTAAATTGATTTGTAAGATAATGATCCCTGTAATGTGCAATCAATGAAGCAATCAAGATCAAAGATGCTAGGGTCTTTATTAAAAAGGATTTAAAAATAAAATCAAATGGATTAATCAAATACAAATACAAACACAAATTGTGTGTCATCGCCAATATCAAAAATGAAGAAATCTAATTCTTCAATTTTTGCAACTAGATTTTCAAGACCTACTGAAAGATCAATTGATTAAATCAATATATAATGATTAAATTATTCAATTTTATAATTCGAATTCAGAAGTGTTATATTAGCTAAATATTTTCACATTTCGCATGTTTATAGTAACAGAAGTAATAAAGGAATTTTTATATTCAAATTGTTCTTCGAATAATTTCATTTTTCTTGCAAATTCTGATAATTATTTTTGGTGTTGATCCATATTGCAATAAAACAAAGGGATGAAATTCTCTATTTTGTCAATTGTAGCGTCTTATTATTAATTTAAGAAACAACATAATTTAATTAGAACAGAATTATCAATTTTTATTTGGAATAAATTTTATTTGTCAGTTTATGCAAGACATTCGCTAAATGAGATAAAAGTATGAATCAATAAAACAATCAAATCCAAACACTCCTAAGAAATGTCTCACTCCTACTATATCCGCATAATATGTCAAAACTAGTCCAGGATTGCAGATGACTCCTCCATCGAATCCAAGACTTAAAAAAATATGCAATAATTGTTTAAATCGATCACTTATGAAATAAAAGGAATTCAGTGTTTAATAACAACGATAAGAGGATTAAGTAATTATATTTAATAGACTAATTAGAAATTGTACTAATAAGTCAAATAATCCATAGATTAGGAAAATTAATATAGAGACTAGTTGGCTGAAGAAAAAAGAAGGAAATTCTTTACTTATCATAAAATTAATGGCGAGTTAATCCAATTGCATTAATAGAGAGTCAAAACTGAATAATAAAATGAATAAGTAGAAGTAGCTAACTTTTTCAAAAAGTTGGAGAAGGACGACAATCTAAGAAAGATAAAGCAATTAGAAAAAAAGGAATAAATGCAATAATATTATTTGAGGGATCTTAAAAATTAAATTTAATTTAAGGAAGAAGAAAAAAGTTAGTAGAAATTACAAAATAACAAATCTGACATAATAGAATCTCAGTTTTGGACTCAAATGGAGAATGAACAAATACATAATCAATAAATTAAAGCTTAATAATAACGACAGATGATAAACTATTGGAAATACACATTAGGTGAAAAGCAGAAATTGAAATAATAACAGGAAGAAATGAACAAAATAGAATAAGAACAACTTAAGTATATACAGAAAAGCAATGAAAAAATGATGAAGGCCTCTGAGTAAGCAAAAAAACAATAGATGGAATAATTCAAATAAGAGATTCAATATTAAGTTAAAATTAATGAGTAAAAAAGAAGAGACGAGGAAAACAAAAAACAACAGGAGTATTATATTATGATTCAATAAAAATAACAAGAGGAGCAACGTGAAAAATAGAAATAATTGGATAAATCTATTGAGAGGTTAACTTTTATAAAGGATATTGAGTAGTAGATTAATTTTAAAGTAAATAGTTCTTGTTATGTAGTAAAAAGTTTAGAAAGAGGAAAAGGAAAGAGAACTGAGTGAAAACGAAAAGAAATTACTGATTCAGGAAAATCCTATAAGTTTAGTCTGCTGTGATGAATGCAAACATAATTGTCCATCAAAAGTTATTACTAATATATTATAATGATAATAATTTTAAAATAATGTAATTGGATGAGAGTAATAAAACAAAGAAAAATGAATAGTCTATTCTTAAAGAAACCTCCAAAAACAGAAATGTAATTACCGATAATTATCATGCAAGATAGTTTCTAAATTACAAGGAAATCCAGTAAGATTATAGGGATTGAAAGACAGTTTTAAATACTTTACGTTATTAAAAAAGAATCAATATTTGGAGAGAAAGCAATATAGAGTTAGCAGAGATGAGACTTTAGTTTGTTCCTGCATAATGTGTCCTGAGGATCAAATATAAAAGTACATTAAATAGTAAAAATAGTCGACCTTAAGGTCCGTAATATTCTTATAATTGCGGTGAGAGATGCTTGAATAGATTCACTTGTACGGAATGCGATGTAGAGTTGTGTCCGTGTGCAGAACAATGCAAAAATCGAAGATTTTAGAAACATGATGATGCATGTGTTTATCCATTGCGTTGTGGAGGGAAAGGAATGGGTTTGTTTGCTGGCGAACGTATTTTGAAGGGACAATTCATAATGCAATATGTTGGCGAGATATTTCAAATAAATAGTGCATTTGGGAGACGACGAGTGCAGGAATATTCGGTTTGAATTGTGTGTTTATTTTAGAAATCTACATGCACTTATTTAATGAAACTCAACAATCAAGAAGTTATTGATCCAACATCGAAAGGGAATCTAGCAAGATTTATAAATCATTCATGTGAGCCCAATTGTATTACAGAGAAATGGAATGTGTTAGGAGAAGTATGTATAGGAATATTTGCCATACGAGACATAAATGAGGATGAAGAATTGACCTTTGATTATTAATTTGACGTATTTCATACACCCTTGACTAAATGTCTCTGTGGGGCTAATAAATGCAAGGGGTATTTGGGATTGAAACCAACTGATGTTACATAAGAAGAGTGGGAAGAACATCTGGAAAATATGGTATGCAAAATATGTTAAACTAAAACACCATAAGATGATGAGTAACTATTGTTATGTGATAAATGCAATTGTGGATTCCATTTATTATGTCTTGTACCTCCATTGTCATCAGTACCAAAAGATGCTTGGTATTGTTAGGAATGCTAGGATGAGAAAAGAATATTGGCTGAATCTGAAAAAGAGAAAGAAAAAATAGAAGGCTTATTATAGTAGAAAGTCAAATAGTTGAATAATGAGAAAAAGAATAAGAAAAAGATGAATTCATCATCTTCTTCAAGTGATTCTGATAGTGAATATGATAACAGATATAAAATGATGAAATCTTTGGAGAAATAAACAGTCAGAGAATATTTATAATAGAAATAACATTAATAATAATAAATTAATAAATTAGAGGAGGATGTCAATTATAATAAAAAAGAAGAGTTGGATACTAATATCTCAGATTTACCTCTGCCTTCAAAGAGTATCAAATCTACAGGCACATCATTAAATAATCTTGATCAATATGTTAAATCATCAATAGACTTACAACAATAGAATAGTGGTAAACTCTCGTAGATGCAATCCATAGTTGATGTAGCCTAGAAAAAATTTGAAGAAGCAATATGATAATAATACTGATTTTGTAATAGTAAATAGAATAGATTCAAGTGTAAAATATCCAAAATATTGATACTAAAAAGGAATGCTTTAAAATCAATATTCTTGAATAGAAAGTAGTCAAAAAGAATGCTCCATTAATTTATAAGATTGGAAACAAAATCAGTTTTGAATAAATAGATCAATAATATGCAGATTTCTTCAAGAAGGAGAATAATTTGACTGTTATTGGTTCTGTTTAATAGATAAGTATCTTTAGATCAATCCTAATCATGATTGAATAAATTATCAAAGAATTGAAAAAAGAACTAGGAATCATAGAAGGGTAGATTAAAGTACCAATTATATATTTAAAAAGATTAATAAATAAATTGTATTTATTTAATTCTAATTCTTAATAGCAACAGTTTAGATAAAAAACAAGAAGTTAACATTATATATAATAAATCATTGGCTCATAGTGAAGAGATATTTCCTATGGACAAAGCTACTCCAATCAAAATTAAGGGGTCTAAATAGAACATTGAATCAACTGTCCAAGAGATATCAAAAATCTTAAAAACATTATGCGTTTAAAGACTGTATATCAGCAGAAGTGAAACTAAGACTGTTTAATAAAACATGTATCATCTAAAACAGCATGCTGAAATTCGTATTTCAAGAGATTCGGTTTATAATGCAAAAGGCGAACAAACGTAGAGGGATATCAATCATCCATTCTTTTATATACAATATAGGGAGAAGGAAGTCTGTTTAATTGGCACTCTTCAATAAGTTTAAGAGACTAGTAATGCTATTAAATTACTATTGGAATAAGAGACTAATAATGATAAGGAAATGACTTACTTCACTGTCCTCATTTCTCCACAATATAAAGAAATAATGTAAATAAGTCAAATAGAGAATTGAAAAAGATTCTTCATCTACCAAAGTACTATTGTTTGAAGCCTCACATCCTAGAAAGAATATGACTATATTGATATTATGTTTAAGAAATCAGATTAAATAAACTAAGCAAATGTTTTTTGAAATGATTTAAGAGGATTGTCAATTAAAATTGGAATAGTTTTAAGATTAAATGTCAATGTAAATGTGTAGATACGTATTCAAATATTTATAAAATACTATGATGACTAATGATATGGCATTTATGAAGAATTGGGATCTTATTACACCATATTTTTATTAATTTAATATTTTGAAGTACAGAGAATAGAAATTTGATAATTGGTTTGTTAAACGTTGTTATCCATCATTGCTAAGAGATTATGAAACCTAATTGTATATCTAATATTGCTTAGGAAAGGAAATCTAAAAGAATCTAACTGATTAGGAATAAATGTAGAGAAAAAAGAATTTAATCCTATTGACAAGAAAGATCCTGACTGCTATATTGGGATTTAAAAGACATTTGCCAGATTAGACTTAATAAGATGGAAACTAATAACAGGATTAATAATTCAGGAGATTTAATAGTGTATAACAGGATGACACTCCTAAATTATAAAATTTGCCTGTAATTTAATTGATTACTCAAACATCTTAAATCAGCAAAAGAAGTGATAGATAGAAGGACAGTAGCGATGACAGTTCCTCTGATTCCAGCAATAACCAACATCAAAAGAGATAAAGTAGTTCAGAATCAGGTAAAAGTAGAGATATGTCAACAAAGCAAAAGCATAAGTCGCATCATCATAGATATAACTATAATTAAAAAAGTCCGGTTGATAGGTATGATAAATATAAATACGAAAAATCGCACTATTATGATAAATCAAAATAGAAACAAAAATACTAGAGTTATAAATATGAGAGACCTAGAACTAGTAGAAGATATTATGATGACCATGACTACTCTAAAAGCAGGGGGTATAACAAAAGAAGTAATTATCCTATGTAATGTAAGGGTCCAGCAGTGAAGGTTCATAAAAGTCTTAGGATTACAGAAGGAAAAGATAGGAATCTGTAGACTCTGATAAATATAAAAATAATAAGTATTATAGTGGATTTTAATTTGAAAGAAGACATCCCAAGACTTACAAATATGATTATGAAAGTAGTTTCAATTTTTATATATTAGAATCTACTAAAATGCAAGAAAGCCAAAGAAAGATCTCGATCAAGACAACGAAACAAATCAGATAGTAGCGATGGCTATCGAAGAAGATCCAAATCAACTCACAAATCCAAGAAATACTATAGGAAGTATTAGTGAAATTTAAATATATAATTTATTATGGATTAAGTTAAGCCAAAAGTATTTTTTGTTTTGGGAGGTATTCTCTAATCGAGCAATTAAAATAGGACCTGGAGCAGGAAAGGGTACTTAAAGTGCAAAAATGGTGGAGAAGTATCATTTTGTTCACTTATCTGCCGGTGACTTGTTAAGAGAGGAGGTAATTCAGTAAATTATGTTTTCAAGAGATCCAAAAAAACACAAAATGCTGAATTGATTGAAGAAATCATTAGGAGTGGATAAATTGTCCCAGTAATTATGATACATATTTTAATAGAGTCACATTACTATTGGGTTATTGGAATAGGCTATGCAAGCTAAGGGTTTAGATAAGATGTTTTTGATTGATGGATTCCCCAGAAATCAAGAGAATTTCGACGTTTGGATCAAATTAATGGGTGATAAAGTGGAGTTTAAAAAATTGTTTTATTTTGAATGTGATGAGGAGACCTTAAAAAATAGAATAAAGATCAGGGCTTAAGAAAGTGGAAGATCAGATGATAATGATGAAACTCTGGTTAAAAGGTTGAAAACATACAATGAATCTACACGACCAATTATATGTAAAGATTAATTGTAAGCATTAGAATATTTTGATTCTCTATCACAATGCATCCATATAAAGGCAGACAAAGCTATTGATGAGGTATTTCAAGAAATTACAAAGAAATTAGATGAAATCTTGTGATATTAAAATTAATAATGCATGCAGATTCATTTCTAACCACCAAATATACTAGTTTTAACCGTTCTTTACACAAAACTAGATCTTATTCCTTTTAACACCATTCAGTGGATAATGCTCGTCCAAATCTAGCATAAAAGAAGGAAATTGAAAATAATAGACAATAACATCATAGCGTCAATATCTTATAACAAATCCCTCAGAATATCTCAATCATAACTCTCTTTTCAAAGCCGATCGTTGAGTAACTATTGTTGAGATAATCTGATTTATATATGAAATGTAAGTGATTATTAAGAATAACTATAGAATTTAAGATCTAATTAAGTTTAATCCTTGATTAAGGCAATTTGTAATAATTTCAGGCACTCATCTGTATGACTGCAGATATTTTACTCAAAATTAAGGATTTTAATAATGCCTGTTATTACTATAATTAATATGTAAATTTATTATAATATTTGAGAGAATTTTAAATACCCTAACCAAAAATCACTCAGAGAAGGCAGTGTCATTTATAGGATTGGCAAATTGTGCAACTGAAGTCAAAATGAACAAAGAAGCATTATTATTATTGAAAAAAGGACTTCAATACTCATGGTTATGTAAGGAACATGAAATTTAAATATACGAAAGAATGGCTATAAACTATTATTATTTAGGATAAATTGAGGATTAATTGTATTTCCATGAAAGAGGCTTGCTTGGCGTATTTGAAGCAGAAGAATCACCAATTAAGAAATTCAGTTGTGAAGCTTTAAGAGATCAAATAAGGAAGAATGTAATTGAAATTAAAACTCTTTGTCCTTAATTATTGAATTATTTGAATCTTCCCATTTTGTCTGAAAATGAATTAAACAATAAAAGCCAAAATTGCATAAGAAGATCTCATACAAAAAAATAGATTATCTATACAGCTTAAGAATAATTAGAAGTTATTCTAAGAAATTGCGATGAATTTTAATTCCAGATTAATACTCCAAGATATTAAAGATTAATTTAATATGAATCTCAAAAAAAATAAACTGATGAATTTCGTCACCCTCTAATAACAAAAACATCATATTCAAAAGAAAAAAGAGTTTATGATATAACAGATTCAACAATTTATAAATTGCCATTTGAAATGTAAGTAAACAATAGAATTCAGCATCCTTATATATTTGAAGATATAAATTCTAAGATGTATAAGTAATTAAGAACAAGAAATCCAAATCAAAAGTTTGGTTTAAGAAACAAAGTTCTGCTGAATCATCAAAATAGAGAAGACTTCCATTATTAGAAGAATGGAGCTTGTCTATATAGATAGATTTAAGCTATTTTTAAGAGGTATGCTCATTTATTTACTTGAATCAATATACATTTCTATTTTTCAGCATAATAGACAATTTTATATTTTCAGAAATATATTATTAATTGCTCTTCTTAAATATTATAAGATCATTCAAAGTTTATACTGAATCCTAGATGCTCCATTAATGTCTTTTCAATTTCCTATCTATCCTTTCCCAAAAAGATTAGCTATAATAAAATCTAGTCGTTACTTTATCATTTGTCCTTGTGGGCAAGAAAGGCTTTAACATTTTGTAGAATCCCATTACAAAACCAGACATATTAATGATGAATACCTTATTTTGTCTCTCTGGAAAAAACTGTAACACCATATTAAGAAGGCTTTTAGTCATTTAGAGATCAAAGTTGGAGAACCCAAATCCATCTACATCCAGAATTGTAATATAGGAATCTACAAAACCTTTACATGATCGACACACATCCTCAAGAAAAGCTATAAAGTACCATTTATATCTCTCGAGATCTCTAAATGTTGTAAACGATTAAATACATTTTATCTGGTTATAATTTAGATTATTTAGTGTATACAACTTATCTCCCGCATTTGCTCTCCCCTACGATTTCTAGTATTCCTTTGAATTCTGGAAATTGCTTTGCTGATAACCGATTAATTCGATGTTGTCTTCTCCATTCCTAAATAAATCAAATATATATACAATCCAATTCATTATTGCAGCATATGAGGCATCAATATCAAATCTAAAATTACAAAATGCTATAATTACACCCTCTTGCAATAAGCCATCTTATCAAAGTATTACTAGAGAGTTTGTATTCACATACTTTTTAAAATAATTTATAATAAATGTCTTAGTCTTCTTAATCCAATTAGGTAACTCTATTATAAAATATGAGTATATGATACCGATAATGTTCATTGATGTATTTTTCATCAGTTTCTTTGGGTGAATACTCACAAGTGTCATTGTAATTGCATACATATTTATTTGATTCATCTTCCTCTTCATCTAAACGGAACTCAGATAAAATTGATTATTTTTCAAATAACTCTGCATTTTCCAAACTTGAATAATTGATAATGCATTCTCTTAAAAACTTAAAAAATGCATAATTTGGTTTTGATTTTAGATGTTAAATAATTGTTAAGATTGTTCTTGATTTTTCAATTTTAGAAAATACTAATTATTAAACCATAATCGCATCGTCGTACTTTCTATAAATTCCTTAACTTGATTCATTGATTTTGAAGAAGTGATATTAATACTTAAGAGAATAGATTTAATTTTTGAATTTGCATCTTTCGATAAAACTTCCATCAGATATTTATTGTTTGTCTATTCTAAAATATTAGACTCTCTCGTCTAATATGGAATTGAGGGGTAATAGATTATTAAGAATAATGTCTCCTCTTTAATAGAAACTATTAGTTCCTGTATAAAATATCTTCACATTTGACATTTGTTTGGATTGAATCCAATGCATTTTCTGGCATTGTTTAAGTGTATGAAAGAATTCCTATTCTTGTTAATTCATAATTTAAATATATATATATATAAATTTCGTTTGTTTAATTTGATTGAGGGTGAGTCTTTCGACTCTTCAGAAATTGGTGGACGACTTCACAAGGAAGTCATACACTCACATTGGAGTAGTTTTCAATTAGCAATCTCGCGTATCCGTTGGTACGTCACTTACAGCGATATTGCCCCTGAATAAGGATAAGTTGTCTAACAATTCTGGTTTAATTTAAATACTCAAGACAAATTTTGAATTTTATGGGTTTCTGGAGTCCAATTCATTTAAAGTTTCTTTAGTAAATATACATAATAAAACTAAAATTGATATTGGTCATTTTTAATTAATCAGGTATTTGGCTCCCTTCTTGGCAAGAAACTGTTTAATGTTTCTCATTTTTTTTTATTACTCTTAAGATCCCTTGTAATATCCCCATAGATTAATCCAGTTCAGACAAGCTCCAATACCTGCTAAGAATATCTATTGCATTAATAAAACGATACATCTATAAGTCCGAATTAAAATATGTTTGCAAAAACGAAGAAAGCCCATAAACAAGAAGACCCAAATTGGCAATACCAGAAAACTGTTGAATCTATTGCATTCACTTCTCCTTTGTTATAAAATTCATATTTATAAATCTCTTAACCATGAAATGATAAATCTGTGTACCATCTTACTCCAATTAAATATCTTCCGGTAACATTTTTTACCAAATAAAAATCAACCCCATGACAAATCAATAAAATTATCATCTCATAAAACATATTTTAAATGAAATATCCCAAAAGTAAGTACCTATAATTAAATCAAATATGATTACGAAAAAAAGGCGCATGCTTTTAGCAGAATATGTAGTAACCACATTATAGGATGACTATCATCTTCTTTTAATAGGTCAAGATGAGATATGTATGTATCCTATTGTTGTACATCATGCATTTCTATCTCCTATTGTTACTTACTCATTGTTAATATATATATATGATTATTAATCAAATTAATGATTAAGTTAATCTATCGATTTGCAACTAATGACAGTTGAAAGACAAAAATAATAAAACCTCACTAAAATATATCCTTAAAAGAGTTTTCTAATACAACATTTTATTTCAAATTTTGAGATTTTTCATTTATAAATAAAAGAAATCAAAACCAAAATCATTTCCATTTTCATTAATTTTCTTACATTTTTTTCATCAGAGTATCAAAAAATTCTTAATGAGATATTTAACCATCTCCATTTTAATCAAAATCTTTGATTAAATCCTTCCAAACAGTACTCTTTTCTGCTGCTCCTGCCATCACTTTTTTTAATTCTGCTATCGTTATTTATCCATTTCCATCCTATTCATAGAGTTAATAATTTACTTAATCAAATAATTTAAACACTTTCTCGATCTTGTCCTTTTCTACTAATTGATTATATTAAGAGGCTGCAACTAGAAATTCTGAATACTCCAAAGTATCAGAATGATTGAAATCTCCCTTTTTTAATATTTCCTATACAACATGTTCTGCTTTCAGTTCATCATTGTAAATCTTCATATATCCTTGCTTCAATTCTGAATGAGACAGTTTTCCATCTCCATTTCTGTCCATAGATTTGAACTATTAAATTAGTTTTTGTTTATCCTTACTATTCATCATTGTGGAAGCTATTAGTTACAGAATGGCTTATTGTAATTTGCTACAACTCTATATTTAATATCATTACATACATGAAATTGCTTTAAGTTTTCTAAAACCTATTTATCAATTGCTGCATTGTTCTTATTATCTTAAATCCAAGGATCTAAAAGTGCTTATTCTACAGTATATCTATTTTTAGGATCAAAACTCAGCATTTTTTTCACGAAGGCTTTTGCCTTGTTGGTTTTAATCTTTTCAATGACTAATTAAATAATAGACATATGAGATACGGGCATAATCGATTTCATTACGAGTAATCATTTCGCATATCCTTTGTGGATCAGTTTCATTTCTGTAGGGAAATGATCCAGTCAGAAGCTACAAAGTCATGATTCCACAGGACCATACATCACTCTTTTCATTTGAATTGTCTGTTATTGCCTCTGGTGCTATATATAATGGCTAAGGTTTAGAGATTTTAATTACTGTGCCAGCGATATCAACATCATTTTGATCAACTGGCTTGGCTGCTCCGAAATCAATTAATTTAATCTAAGCTTCCTGTTCATCAGATTCCAGTAATATATTTTATGGCTTCACATCTCTAAAGTTCAATTATACATTTAAAATTACTTATGAACTATCCCACAAGTGTGACAATGATTTAATGCTTCCAATACCTATTTGATATAATTGGCAATTTGCTGCTCTTTCAACTCCTTCTTCTTATTCAATAATTCAAGTAATTCTCCGCCACTTAAATATTCATAAACTATATAAAAATGTGAGCTATCCTGAAACAGTTCATATATTTTCACAATATTGGGATGGTCAAAATACATCATGATTTAGCATTCATTGGCTATAAGTTTTTCATTTATTTTCTGAGATTTTATAATCTTTTTCATTGCTCTCTTCTGTTCACTCATCAAATGAACAACTAAATTAACTTCTCCTTAAGCCCCTAGTCTCATTATAAATTAATACCTTTTCCTAGAGGTTTCTCTATTCTGTAATGTTTTAAAAGATCTCCACCCTTTAAATTAATGAATAAGGAAGGCCCTACAAAAAATGGATTATCGGCCATGTCTTTTCTCTGTATATTGCTTAAATACCTTTATCTTGCTTACTAGCGGCGCAACCCATTAAACTTTATAATTGATTTAATTAATATTCATCATTATAATTTATTTATCATTTAGTTTAATAATTATTTATAACTCTTTTTTTGATCTTATTTCTCAAACTATTCTAAATGATCTATTATTTCTTTTTACAATACTAAATTCAACATAGTATTCTTTCCTAAAATTTATTAGATTTGCTTGATCCCATTTTACTGGATTTTATTAGACTAATATTCTTTATCAGCTTTTAACATATTTAATAATTGATTAAATTCCTATTAAATTTCTTCTGACTTAATAAAAACTCTCTAGTTCTTAACATAGTCCTTCGCCTTTTCATTAATTCCTTTCTAAACTTCTAAAATAAACTCATCAAACTGATAAATATCTTTTGTTAGATTCGTAATCATCTAAGAATTGTCACTTAAGATTAATCCATCTTCATATTTCTTCCTTTTTGGTTACAAATAATTAACAACTTATGATTTTTTGACTTCCTAATTAGGAAAACAAGACTTAAGATTTTCTAATTTCTATTACCTTATTTACTATTCCCATTATTAAAGACACTCTAACCTTATAAGAGCATATAATACCTTCATAAACAAAGGTGGTTTTGGATTCACTAAAGTATAAAATACTGAGAATCAATGCCTCATTTTTTAAGACTTACTTTATATAATTTATATCTTTTCGCTAAATCTTTTTAGATCTATTTAAGTCAAATTTTGAAAAAGATTATAATAGCATATCATGTCTTATATTCAGATAAGTATGGGTTTCAATGAATTCCTTTAAATATTAATCAAGTTAAATGCATTATAATAAATATTTGTCAAATTAAACGATTTCTCTGCTTATAACTTATCTTGGAGTTACATTGGTTGAATTTCCAATAATCCATTAATTGTGTAATATCTAATTGTAATTCAATCTCTATTCAGGTTATTCATTCAACATTTCAATCAATAATTTTCTTTAAAGAAATGGAATTGTGGGATCTTCAGGGTCAAATAATATTTATTTTTGCAAGTCCTTCACTGTATAAGGATATAGATATTTATATTTATTAGGTAAGGAGCCTTTCAATAAAATGTAAAGTAGAATTCCGCATTTCCATACGTTTAATTTCTCGATATCCGATTATTCAGTTTCAGGAGGGTTAAAGATTGATATGGTAAATGATTCCTTTTTTTATTTGATATAAATTCCATTCAATAAAACATTCCCTTCAGGTGTCACTAGAATTTGATTAGGAGATTGCAAACTAAATCTAAACATCTAATTACTAATATGTAATTTTTAAATCATTTAACATCTTTAAAGTTTAGATCAATTATTTGAATAATTATTTAGCCGATAATTCATCAAAGGACTCTTTCTTAAGGCAATACTCAAAAATGGACAAACCCTATGGTTTTCTGAAATATTGAATATTAGTACGATTGAAATATTATTGAATAGGAATCAGTTTAATATACTTTTTCTATTTTATGTATATTTTAAATGGTTATGTTCATAATAAATTTTAATTGGTCATCATTGATTTTTTGTACTACTGTCATTATCTTTTCTTTTTAATCACAACCATCCTTCACTAAGTAGGATTGTGTGTTCTTATCTTTAATATTTGATTAGTTATCTACCAAAATGATGGGTTTTAATCATGGTAATTTAGGTTTCTAAATCAGTAGGTCCAATTTGTTTAATATTGGAACTTTGAATTAATTTTTTTTGACAAATGCCCATTTATTATAATTATTAATTTTAACATATTCTAATAATTTATACCTATGCTCAAAGTTCCTAGTTTATTTTAATACACCAATTAAACTACTAATTTTTCAGCATAATATATTTTTCTCAATTTCTATAAAATGTATCGAATATTAAATTTAATAACTTTTGAGCTTTAAGAAGGTTCTGGAAAGTGAAGAAAAAATATTATTTTTTTTTAAATTATTATTCATGGAAGTTGAACGCAACACAGGAAATGATAAACTTAGATAATAAGCCGAAGAACACAAAAATAAAGGAAATGATTATTTTAAAAGAGGATTATACTCAAATGCTGCTGAAGAATACGAAAAAGCCATAGGTATTCAAATCCATTCATATTTAGAACTATGCACAAATGAAGCCAATTATTACGGCAATAGAGCTGCCTGCTTTCTTCAAATGAAAAAGTAATTCATTATTATCATCATTAGGTATAGCAAATGTTTGAAGGACTGCGAATAAGCACTTAGCTTGGATCCCAATAACATCAAATTTCTAAGAAGAAAAGCCTTGAGTTTGTAATATTTGGGACTCTTGACTGAAGCCAAACCTATTTTTGAGCAAATTGCCAATTTAGATAATAGCGAGTAATCCCTCAAAGAACATAAACTAATAAAAGAATTGATCACTTACTTGTAATAAGCAAGACAGAAGTTGGATGACAACCAATATAAGGAAGCCTTAACCTTTATTGAGAGAGTTGCCAAGGAAGTACCAGATGCTGTAGATATTCAAATCCTAAATTGCGAATGTCTGGCCAGAACATCCAATATCAATTAAGCCTAAGAATAATTGAGACTTATTTAAGATAAGCATGGGCCGAGAGTTGAAACTTACTATTTAAAGGGTTTGATAGAATTATACGGAGGAAGTCCAGACAAGGCTAAATCCATTCTCTAAGAAGGCTTAAGACAGGATTAGAAAAACAAAAAGTGCTTGGCTGCTTTTCAAATGGCAAAAGATTAGGATAGCTATAAATCAAAAGGAAATGATTGTTTAAATTCAAATAGATTTGATGATGCTATTGATTTTTATACCAAAGCCTTAGCAGTTGATTCCAACAATTTTAAATTCAATTCCATAATTTATGCAAACAGAGGATTGGCTTATTAGAAAAAGAAGGATCATTAGAAAGCAGTTAATGATTTTGATAAATCAATTGAATTGAATGACAGATATTTCAAACCTTACTTGAGAAGAGGAGATTCAAGATAAGAATTAGGAGATCTGGATGGTGCATAAGGTGACTATCAGAAAGTGATGGAATTGGATCAAGGATCAATATAATAGATGAGATAGAAGATTAATGATCTAACAAGAAAACAGAAATAATTATCAAAAAAGGATTATTACAAGATCTTAGATGTCGAGAAGAATGCTACAGATGCAGACATTAAGAAGGCTTATAGAAAATTGGCTTTGTAATGGCATCCAGATAAAAACAAAGAGAATGAAGAATAGAAGGTATTTTATTTATAATATCCTAATAGAAATTAGCTGATAAAAAATTCAGAGAAATTGCTGAAGCCTACAGTGTGTTGAGCGATAAAAATAAAAGATAACAATTCGATATGGGAGTAGATCCAAATGATCCAATGGGAGGAGCAGGAGGATTTGAAACAAACATTGATCCATCCTAAATATTTAAAATGTTCTTTGGTGGAGAAGGAGGAGGTGATTTTGGTATTGGAAATATGGGAGGAGGAGACTTCCCAGGAGGATTCAAAACTATGTTTACAACTAACTTAGGAGGGATGGGTTAGAATATGAGAGGAGGATAAGGATTCCCATTTTAATTTGGAGATTTCTCTTAATAAGGAGGGGCAGGATTCCCTGGATTTTAATTCCCAGGAATGCAATTCACATAACAACAATAAAGAAGAAAATGATCTATTTTGATTCTCTATATTAATATAAATTAATGTTTTATGCTTATTCAGATAATTTATTTGTATAATATTTGAAGTGTTTAATTAGATAAATAAACTTACCTGCTGCAAAAAAACGCAGATAAAATAAAAAAGATTAAATCATGAAATTTTCAATATAATTAAAAAAAAGTATTATCTATTATTCTATGAATTTCTACCCAATTGACTTTGAAGAACAAGCCTCTTAATGTACTAAATATATATATTTCTAGAGTTAATTAACGAACCCTAAATTGAGTAAACGAATGAGTCATTATACTATGAGTATGACCAAAGTGCTTATTAGGAGCCAGAATAACTTAATACTTTTGATGGGTATCTATAAGAAGAGCCTGTCCTTTTGTTTAATTATGTTGAAGAAGCACCAAAAAGGAAAACTAAACATGTTAACAGAAAATCTAAAAAAATTAGAAAAGCTGATTCAGAAACAGATGTTCCTTCAGGAAAAAGAATTAAATCTCGTATTACTAATAATGATGTCTTGAAATTACAGTAATGTTAGAGATTAAAAACAATAATCTCTCAAATGGAGGCTCTCTTACAATAAACAAGAACATCAATTCTCAGTCAATATATGAAAAATCACACTAAGTGACCTCCTTAATGATTAAATATATCGAGTTATATATATATATATATTTGTAGTAACATATATTATAATAGTTTCTTTTCAAAATTTAAATAGAAGCAAATTTTGATTTAGAACATATGGTTGCCAAAACCAACATACTCAAGCTTCTAATATTATCGACAAACTCCGACTAACATCATTCATGAATAAAAGAGAGAGTTAATTGAGCAACTAATTTTTTTTTTAAAAAGATATACCATAATAACTTAAAGACATATATTGTTATTTCTTAATATAGGTATAAATTTCTTCAATGTTTTATAAACAACAATAATTAAATTCAACCTTTTTGAATTGATTTTAATACAATTACACCATCAAATTTCCATAGATTCAGTATTGCCAAGTTCAAAAATCTGATTATCATAGATCTAAGTAAATGAATAAAGTCATTTAATTAAAAGTAATGAATGATTATATATTTCATTTGATATATGTGGTTATTATAATCTATATTCGTATTCCTGTAATAACTTTAGAATTTGGGTATCGTTACGTTGATTAATTATCTGGAACATCATTAACTACTCCAGAAATTAAAAAAATATTAATCAACTAAACAAAATATCTATATATTATTTATAATCTTTAGAGTTATCATCAAATATTGATTTTAAATTGAGATATATAAAAAAAAATTATATATTTTTAGAAATGAGTGAAATAATTGACTAAAGTATTTTAAAGAAATATGAAATTTTGACTAAAATTGGGAAAGGAGCATATGGAATAGTTTGGAAAGCTAAAGATATTAAGAGTTAAAAGATAGTAGCCTTAAAAAAAGTTTTTGATGCTTTCAACAATCCAACCGACGCATAAAGAACTTACAGAGAGGTAAGCAAGAATTTTATTATTATTATCTTAGGTTAGTCTTTTAAAAAAGTTAAATCATCCAAACATTGTATCATTAATTGATACGTATCCAGCTGAAAATTAAAATGATCTATACATGGCTTTTGAATACATAGAAACTGATCTTCATGTCGCAATTCGTGCTAAGCTCTTACAACCTCCTCACAGAAGATATATAACATATTAAATATTCAAGGCTTTAAAGTACATCCATTCATCAGGCATGATACATAGGTATGAAAGAAGATAATAAATAATTTAGAGACTTGAAGCCAGCAAACATTTTATTAAATTCTGAATGTCAGATAAAATTGGCTGATTTTGGTTTGGCAAGAATGGTCTCTACTTGGGAGGATGATATATTAACAGATTATGTAGCCACACGATGGTTTAGAGCCCCAGAAATTTTATTAGGATCAAAATGGTATTCGATTGGAGTTGATATGTGGGCTATGGGATGTATGATGAGTGAAATGATAATGGGTAAGGTGTTGTTTTCTGGTGGCTCAACAATAAATTAGATAGAGAAGATAATTGAGGTTCTTGGTCCTCCTACTTAAGAAGATATCTCAAGTTTTGGAGGATAAAAATAGTTATTTGAGAAATTCTCCAGAAATTATAAATTCACTTTAAAATCCATTTTGAATTGTGGAAATGATGAATTCGATTTAATTTCTAAGTTGTTAGCTTACAATCCTAATAAAAGATTAAATGCAATAGAAGCGTTAAATCATCCCTATTTTAGAGAGTATCATAATCCTGAAGAGGAGATCACATTTTAAGGATAAATTAAATTAGAGTTAAAAGACGATAAATTGTTTCCCATTCAACTTTATAGAGATTTATTATATAAATAAAACAAAAATTCTAATAGAATGATGAATTTAATATCTAAATAAAAAAAATTACTCTAACTTATTGAAAGAAAAGAAATAGAAAGTATCAAGAAAGCAAAAAGTCAATAATAATTAATTTAATAATCTACCAAGAGCGCATTTTTACAAAACAAATCAACAAACAATTTTGAAAAAAGCGTAAATAAAACTGTTGCTCTACAATAATAAAATAATTATACAAAGTAATAACCAAATTTGAATAATTTGAAATAACAGTAATTGTAGAATAGGTTGAAATAGATTTGCTTATCTTCACCTGATAAAATTGAAACTACTGTCTAATCAAAATCTCCTAAACAATAGATATTAATGCCACAAAGATAATTTATGAAAACCACCCTCAAACCTATAATCATAAACAATTTAATTGACACATCACTCAGCCCTTAATCATTATCCAAACTATAAGCAATAAATTCAATAACTCAAATATAATTATGATTATATCTGCTTAAGCTACTTATTAATTAAGTATAGATTTAATTTCTTTCATTTCTTAGTTTATTATATTGATAAATTTTCTAAGTTTTAATTTAAATCCTTTCTATCTCTTCTGGAATCAAAACATCTACTTCACTTTCTTTAAAACCAATGGTACTCTATACTATATTTTAAGACAGCAAAATAAATACAATCTCTTTTTATAGTATCCAAAACTATATTGATACTAGTGAGTTTGCCTTAATTACTACAGCATTAAAAATAGTTGAAAATATATTCAAAATCTCTTAAAATATATAATTGAAATATAATTTTTAATAATTTTCATTATTTGTAAACAATTATACCATAATATAATCATAGAAATTCTTAAAACTTCTAGTTATTATAAAAATTATCAAAATAATAATAACAATCTCATTTATAATTACATGCCATGAAGAAATATAAATCAAACATATATCTACAAATCAAGTACAATTATAAACACAATAATTCATTGAATTTAACTCTAATATAATAATTATCAAAATGCTGTCTATTAATATTATGAACTAAAATTAAGCTTTTTAAACTTTGTAAAATCTTTAAAACGTTATTATAAATATAACTTTAAAATAGTTGAAATTATGATAACAATTCTTAAATTTAAGATGAAAGTAATTATATACTTCGACTAAATTTCGGATTCTAATTTTCTAATTAGTTTGGTTATTCCAACCTTCCCTCTGGTGTTTTTGAGTAATTGAGCATCTAAATAATAATGTCAGTCAATAATAAGCATAAACTTACCTATTTTGTTAAAATTGAACAAAGTAGAGCTTTTATGAACTATAAAGGTAAAAACAACAATATATATAGTCATAATTCCCAAAATTCAATTTAATAGATAAATTGAATCAAATTATAGGATAGAATATGGGAATAATTGAAATAATTAGATATTATTTTTAATTAAAATTAGAATATATAATTAAATTCATGAGTAAATGAAAAGATAATGTAAAAAATATTTAATTATAAAATATCATTAAAAGGAAACTGTGAATTGAGCAAAAACAGGTCTATGATCACTTCCTAGAATATCGAAGTTTGCATCATAATTTTATAATTTAAGTTCTTATGTAACACTTTCATTTTATCCTTGTGTCGAAGAAAAGGTTTTTGTTTTTTTATTTTCCTTAAATAGAATTCTATCACACCATCCAGGTATTCTGAAATCTTTTCCAACAGCCCATTAATTGTGGAATTCTAACATTTTATATGTGGGTGGAAAGAAGATCATTCCTTCATGAAAATAGGATTAATAATCTAAATATGATCAATGAAATAATACCTTAGGAATGATTTCTACTTTAATACATTTGATCGTTTTAGAGCCACATGAAAAAATCAGAATGGTGTCTAATAGTTTAAGTTGTGATTTTTTAATCTATTCTTGAATTAAAGTCGCCTGTCCAGATCAAATAATCATATGGTACATTCTTGTGACTAGAGAAAACCTCTTTTTCAAAGTGAGTTTCAAGTTTAGAGAATTGAGTTTACCTTTTACTCTCTGCATTCTATCCACTTTCAAGATGACTGTTTGCAAATAAGAATATTTTATCATTAATATTAAGAGAGACTGCAATTCCTCCTTTATTACCCACTATTCCCATAAAGCCTTGTGAGAGTGTATAAGGTCTTCCATTCTTAATTTTAGGGATCAATAGGACATGGGCAAATACGATGAGATGCATTGCATTCAGTGTTGTGGATTGGACTTTAACGTAATTTTTTCCTAGTTCTTCTTTCAATTTTGATTCCCAACTTCCTTTTGATTCGCATAAGAGTGATACAGCTATGCTCCTGGAACATTCTTAAGTTCCCACTACAATTAAATCATGATGGACTTATTCAACATTAAAAAGTCTCTTTAAAGGGTAACCAGGTATAATCCCATGCATATTCCATGTAATCACAAGTATTTTGATATCATTATCTAGAGTCCATTCTAACTTCGGTTAGTTCATCCATTTGTAGGAACACTTATGATTGAGGTGTAGCATTTCTTAATTGAGATGTCCAATTAATTTCGAATCCTATGAGAACTCACTGAAAAACCTGTGGTTAAATAAGGGGAAGGGGAGATGGTCTTGTTGATTAATAGATTTATTGTTCATAATGATTATTTTTCAGTGAGATTTCTCGTATATTAAAATATATAATGTAATATAGTTTATCCAAGAAATTAGAAGAATTCCAAGATCTTGATCCAAGCGAGTCGTTTCCCCAGAGAAGAGTGTCCAAAACCATCGGTTATCAGAATAGCTAATCAATTCAAGAGGAAGACGAGGAGCAATCCTCTTCAAATGTACAATAACCTAAAGCTAAATTACCTTACATGAATTCTTCAATCTAGTAGCCTTGTGAATTTAGTGGGAGCGACATGAAAGTGCCAACGATCTATACGAATATTCAATCAATTAAAAGTTTTGATAAAAACCTATTCTAACCAGAATCAAAGAAGTATGAAGTCGTTATTGATTAATTTATAGTAAAATAGTTGATATCTCAGGATTTGATAGTGCAATACAATCTCCCCAATCAGATTCTGTATTCAAATATATATATTATTAGGTTGAATCCTATTTGGTGGATAACAACAAAGCTTCAACGCTCAATTCTTAACATATCAAAGCAATCATCAATAGGTTTATCTAGAAAATGAAAAGGAAAGTGGATTGGACATAGTTGAACGATTTCACTTTAACAGATAATGCATATGAAGGTACTCATTTTTCAAATAGATCTTAGTGAATCCTTAGATTTATAAGTGGTTTACAATATTCTACTTCCTATTTAGTACGACCATCAATATCCTATCGATAATATTCATACCTTTGCAAATTGTTGAAGAATTAGAATTTAAGATTGTAGCTTACACTGCTCACTGTTTAGTCATCTTCTAAATAACAGCAGACATTCATTTCAAGAGAGGACCCTTTCATTTGTAAGAAGGCAATTTTAATACTTCTTTTATGGATGACACCAAATTAGCCTTAGATCTATTTCGGATCATATTTGCCATCCTATTAATATTGGTCTATTATTATAATGTGAAATATCTGATTATCCCCTATTTCATTTTGCAATTGATAAGGTAGGCTGAGCGTTTCGAGAACATTTACACTTCGATTTCGCTGTTTTTTTATATCATAGTTTTGTGGCTTACGATCATAATGTCATTTGTTTGTCTCTTTGAATGCGAGTAGGACATATATTATTCACTGACTGTTGCAGTCTCCATTCTCACTCATAATGGGATAATCGCTGTGGATGTCACTCCCACGAATTCGTTCCTCCTTCAAACTTACATGATTATTGGTTGGTTATCCATGATTTACACAGCCACTGTTATTTTCATTTGGATCAAACCCTCCATCAAATTGGAATAGGAGAAGGAGAAACATTTGGCTTCATTCCTCCAGGGAATCAAGAACAAAAATATCGATTATGGATTACAATGCAGATGCTACTCATATCTTGAGTATATAGTTGATGTAAATTGGATTCTCAGATTTAGGAAGACATCATGAAAACCCGTGATTTGTTGACCAAGAAGTTGTCGCCTGCTCTTTAAGAAGAATTGCAAGTCTCCATTCGTTCCAAGATGGTTGAGAAGATCAAACTGTTTAAGAAGTTTTCTTCGAGTCTAAGACAGCAATTGATCTATTGGTTTGAAATTGCACAATACAACCCAGAAGAAAATATAGTCTAAGTATAACAAAAAGTAATTCTAAGGAACACTTAATAGAAGACCATTGTTTATATTACATATTGAAGGGGAAAGTCAAAATACAATTCCAAGGTTAATTTTAAGGGAAGCCAAAGAGAACATTTCACACTTTGACAGAAGGTTAAACATTTGGTGAATTTTCATTTATTAGCGGAATTCCACCTTACATTTCATTAAACAGTGATGGATTAACCACAGTTTTGAGATTGAGGAGATCTGATTTCTTAGAAATCATCAAGTCCTTTCCTTAAGATAATGAAATCTTTTGTTTTTATAAGGATAACTGTAATCAGAATCACAACATGTTTGAATGCCATTATTGTAAGGTTTAGGGACATATGCTGTTTGAATGCTAATACTTGTAATATTATCCTTAAAAAATGAATGTCATTGAGAAATACTTATATCCTCATATACAATAGCGGTTTAAGACAGAAAGGCGTTTGAAGTCGCCGAAAGCGTTACCTATGTTATTTGTTGTGGGAGAAAGTGCAAAGCAATTTCAGTAAAAACTATCTTAGGAAATAATGACATCTGAGGATTTCCCAGTGTCCTCATAATTACCGTACAGTGAAAGTATTAATAAAATTGATATATATATATTAAATCTATATAGATCAGACCCAACAATCAGCCAGCTACCTAAGTAAGACTCAATCGATCCATAAAAACCCAGATTAGCTGAGTGAGAATCCTGACAGTGTTGAAGATTAATTATATGATGAAATGATAATAGACCCAGTACATAATAATCAATTCAGAAAATAATAAAATAAAACTACTCTAAGAACTGCTGGATTTCCTTTTTAGGCAGACAACCTAGGTACTAAGGTTCATAAGCCTATGGTAGAAAACTTGCACAAAGAAAAATTATAAATGATTAGTGAAGCAACATAAAGTAAATAATTTGACTCTCTCAATTCAAAACACGAAGATTCAAATTAATTTAGTAAGTAAACCAGTAGTTCGTAAGCATTCGTCAAGAAAAATAATGTATACTCTGCAGCACGATCAATGCACACCAAATTGACATTCCGATATCAACAACAACAATCCAGTTAGATGGAGGAGTCAATTCAATTCTAATAACAATAGAATTCTGTAAGACAAACATCCAATCGATCAAACACTTATTCGAATCCTCTTTCAAACAACATATCTAACAATCCATCAATTGCTTCAAAGGTACATACAAAATCAGCCAGAGTGTCTCCTACTTAATTTTAGTCATAGCAGAAAAAGAAGGATGAGAGGGCCTCTCATAGTGATCAATCATTATCTGAATAGCGACATACAAATAGAAAAAAGAGTACTAAAACAGGAACAAAAGTTAGCATACTATAATCTCAATTCCAAGTAATCAACACTCCTGATGTATTTAAGTTGATTTATTTATAAGAATCCACATTTTCAATACAATGAGATATTTTTTAATAGATTTGAGAAAATGCATCTATTCAAGTACTACAATCCCCACAACAACTACGACAATGTGATACAGAGGTAATCAATCAAGGATGATATTTTAGAACCAACAAGTTTCACAGATAAAAGAAGGGAAAACCCAGTTTATACACTTTAAAGTGTTTTGTTTCTACAAAAATAAAGCGAGTCAAGAGATTATTAGAATAACAAACATGATAAAATATTAATATTACTAAAATTGAATATTCTTTCTAGATATATGAAATGATGTAAATGTTCATTTAATGTTTTAATTTTCTCCAAACTTCTCTTCAATCCATCTCATAGTAATTGATCCTGGTCTTTCAATTGGTAATCCGAAGGCTCTTGACCAGATGAGGTTGGCCATACATCCTAATGCTCTTGAGACTGCGAAAACGACAGTGTAATATTAGAATTCTCTCATTCCATAGTGATAAAGGAGGACTCCTGAATGTGCATCAACATTTCTATGATAATAATCTATAAATACGGCCATGGGTTTTAGATTTTTCCGATGGTCTTCAAAACAGGTGGAATAACATGATAACATTGTCTGACTAAGTCAACCAAGGGATCATCCTTGATGTGTCTAGCAGCAAAGTCCTTTTGATGGATGAAACGTGGATCTGTGTATCTCAAAACAGCATGACCATATCCTGGGATGACCTTTCCTTCTCTGATGGTTGTGAGAACGTAATCTTGGATTTTTTCGTTTGAGATGTTTTCACCCAATTCTTCCTATAAAAGGTTTAATATGTTGAGATACTCTCATTTCCAAGAGCCATTTGAGGACTTCTTAGTTTGCAAGACCATGTAATGGACCAGCCAAACCATTGACACCAGCAGAATATGACAAATATGGATCTGCCAATGCTGATCCAACCAAATGTGTTGTGTGTGCACTCACATTACCTCCTTCATGATCAGCATGAATGCTTAAATATCCTCTCAAACATTCTCTAACCTCAAATTTGTTATATCCAAGCATGTGAGCATAATTACCAGCCCAATCCAAGTTGTCATCAGCTGAGATGATTTCACCATTCTTAAGTCTATAAACAAATAAATACCTTATATTTGTGTCTGTAGATCAAGGCAGCAACTCTTGGGATTTTGGCCAATAAATCCATGGCATCTTCATAGAAGTATTCCCAATATTATGGCTTTGAAACCTTTCCTTGGTCATAGACTTGTTGGAATTGAGAGTCCTTTTACAAAAACAACAATGTTTAAGATAACATTGTCATTGGGTGAGCAGCCTTTGGTAAACTCAAAATGAACTTTTATGTCTCACTATCCAATTGTCCTCTTTATTTCCATTCTTATTGAACGTCAGCGAATTCTTGTTCGGCTAAAAGATATATAACAACATATATGTACATGGGAAGTCACCTGTGCACAACAACCAAAACAAGGCTTCTGGTAAAGGCTCGTGTCCATTCTCAGCCTTTTAGAGATATTCCTACAATTCAGGGATGTTGTAATCTCTCATTGTGATACCCTATTTCGTTAAATATGAATGTATTACTGTTTTAGCATCCAACAATGATGCATCGTAAAAGAGACCGAACACGTTTCTCATTCCTCCAATAGCTTAGTCAACTGTAACTTTGCACACTTCCTTTGCTCCATATCTCTTTCTGACATCTCGCAATAAGGCTTATTTCACAGGCACAAGCTCTCTCATTCTCTTCTTCAACAGCCCATGTGTATTGTTATACACACTTCTGTAAAACATTTACACTGCACTTCTAGAGTTCACTTACATGATGATATATTATAATTATTATCAAAAATTCAAGATATTATCTGCATTTATACACACCCTATGCGCATTAATTATAGCATAATTAAAAAGATTCGCTAATTTTCTAATTATTATAAAAATTATTTTTATAATTAGATATTTATTTTGTGGTTAATTCTTTATTAAAAACCAATAATTACACTACCCTCTTATTCTAATCTCAATCCTAATCAGTCTGCAAATCCCAATACTCCTCATTCCATTTACATTCATCTTATTCCCAATGCCCAACTACATCAACAAATTGGCGTAGTAAATAACTTGAGTTAGGTTTTTAATCAACTTTCGTGAAGAATCCCTTACTTCATTAAATGACAATATTTAGAAAAAGGGATTAAAATACAAATGTTTAATTTACAATTGCAGTCAATATTATGCCTAAAAATTCAATTTTTGTTATAATTTATCATATATTAAGAGTTAAGTAGAAGGAACTAACTGCCTTGGATTTATTGGAATATATCCCTTAAATACTCCCCTTATACCTTCCTTTTAGTAACTATTAAAAATATGATCAAATAATCTCTTTAATTATAAGATTAATTATTACTTATTATTGGCAATTTAACATTATTTTCTTTCTCACAGTATCCAGTGGATGCACTAGTAATTCTGATGAAGAGACTACAAGTTATGCTAATAAAAAGTTGCTCAAATTCAATTCGTTTCTCTAAGCCAATTAATCTCCCCAAATTATGTATTACCCAGTATCATACCCACTTATTACTATTAATATTATGAATCTACCCAAAGTAGCATGCTTTGTATATAAATGAACAAATAGCTGTCATCCCAAATCCCTTATACATGTCTCTTAACATGAACCATAATTTTTATTTTTCTTTCTATGCTTTTATTAAATTATTCGCTAATCTGACTCGACTAAAATTTAAAGTGTAAAATATTGGCAAAGTAACAGTTCCTGCTATTCCTCCATTTAATAAAGAATAACCAAAGTATCTACATAGATTAAAGTATTAATCACTTTATTAATTGCTTATTCACATCAATTTTTGATAAGCACTATCTATTTAAAGCATTATAAATTGAAAAATTGAATCCTTAGATTAATGAAAATCTAACCATTCTAGTATTTTTTCTTAATTGCCTCAACAACGTGCCGTCCATAATCACTTATTTACAACCATCTAATATTCCAGTAGGCTGATTCTATTTCTTATAGGGATACCCAATCATTATTAAAAACTAAAGTTCATAGATTGAGCTCACAATCAGCTTAGGTAGGACTCCAGAGCTTACTCCAATAATAAAATCTATGAAGATTTGAGGAATGAAAGCATCTTTTGAAGAAGACATATGAACTATTTATTTTAATTATGATAAGAATTATATCAATTTATAAAAATTGAAATTATATTTTAAGACAAAAATTACCAATTACCAAGTATATTAATTAACGATTAAATTAAATAAGTAAGTTTCTTTAAATTATACAAGAAGTTTATATATTATTATCCTTGGATAGACCCATAGGTAGATTATGGAAATATCAGTACAAATTTATTTTTCAGTATGAAAATTTGAAATTATTAAGATAACCAATAATAATACTTTTATATTTTAATGATCCTTATCATGAATAATCGAGATATATATTATGTACTTAGTTCACAATATCAATTATATTATAAGTAGAAATTCTGCTAGAATAATATTTAAATTATTAATTAACCTGCAAAGATCCAATCTAAGTCAAATTGTAATACATATTAAGTGTTATTAGAAGGATAAGAATTTATAAATTCAGAATGAATCAGGAAAGTCTTAAAAGGACATTGCTGTAAATCAATTTTATAGATCAGAAAGATTTAATAAGAGTTTACATTAGAATGGGGGTAGAATGATGGCCAATTTAACAAAATTCAGTTATTCTGTCTTCAATTCAACATTTTAATGAATAATGATAATTATAATAAATATTATTAATGGATTAATGCAAAACATATTCTCATATACGAGCGACATCTTCTTGTAAGTCTAAACATAAAATTTCTAATAAGTCTCGTGATTTAATCAATCCTAGAAAGAGATCTGTTACTTTCAATAGTGATGTTGATTTAATTAAGTCAATAAGTTGTCAAGAAAACTTACTTGATCTAATAGGGAAAGTGCAGAAATAGAAGCAAGACTATCTTTTGTCTCTTTAAAACTCTTAAATGTCTCTACTTCCACCTTTGAAACTTGAAGAGGAAGATAATAAGACGGCAAAATAATAAGTGAAAAAGTAGACTAATAAAGAGTACTATGAATTTACCATACCTATGGATCCGTATAAAAAGCAGCTGTATCAGAAATTAAATATTTATGGGAAATTCATTGAGCCAACACAATACAAAAAAATAGATTATTAGTAGATTTAGACATTGTAAGTTTTTATTGTTATATGTTAGTGAATCAGCAATTTCATAAATATAATTTTAGGAATGCAATAAGGACAAGATAAACAAATTACAAGAATAAGATACCTAAAAGCAAATGGATAAGTTAATGTCATAAGTTGATGAAACTCAAAGATTCAATTAGCAATATTATACAAACTACAACCAAGATTATGATTTATTTTAAGAACAGTAGAAAATGAACAAGATCATAAGTGAAGCTCTAAAATTTAAGCAGTAGAAAAGAGAACCTATCAATGCATCAAAAAGTGTTAAGTAGAAGAGAACATAAATGAGGAATTACCTTCAGAATCAATACTAGAATGCGCTAAACTCTGTGATGCAGGGGATCAATGTGAATACAGAAGAGGATAACCTATTTATAAGAAAGAAATATTAAAAAAAAATTAAGCTAAATACTTCCTTTAATAATTCCAGAATTACTTCCCAATATACCAAGAAAGCAATTTCTTCTTAAATTATACATCCTGATAGATAAGAGTTTGTTAATAAGACTCTGGAGATCTATGACAAATGCAATACTTATCTTCATTGACATATAAAATATTATATATTTTTTAATTAATGTAATAATCTGTAATTGATTCTAACATTATTTAATCTACAACTGTTAAAACAATAAAAGAACTCAAAAAATTGGGAGATTCGCGGGTTAACTTAGAAGGAGATGAGAATAATATAAACGATTCAACTTTGAGTGGTAAATAGACTCCTGGAGATGAAACCTCTAAAACGTAGCATACGAAAATTACCCTCAATAAAAAACCGAAGTTGGCATTCAAGCTTTAAACGTAGAATACAATTGGTTCTATGAAATAAACAATTATTAAGACTTCTGATGATGTTGATGCATAAAACTATGGAATCAAGAGAGCGTCTCTCAGATAAGGATCAATGAAACCTTAAAGGCCTCAACCTTAACTACAGTTAGAATAAAACGACCCTGTTGATATGAATAATGCACTTAATTTAATTTTAAATAAATGCAAAACTATAAAAGAAGAATTTGAGTAGTTATAACTTACTAACACATTGATCAACAAATTTATAAAAAATGACAAGCACTTCCATTTTTCATTTTAAGCATTTCTAGATAATTTGGTTTCACAGGGAAAATTAGCACAGACATTGACCAATATACAAAAACCAGTTTTACAAAGGATAGAACAATTTACAATAAATCATGTTAAGAAGTGCATGTAAAAAAATTAAATTTCTCAATAATATGAAGAAAAAGCTCGGCAAGTTGACCTGCTTTTCAATCGATATTACAAGGAGTTATCAAATATTGAATAAAATATCAAATATTTCTGATCTAATTGATTAAATCTGTATTTTAGGATTTTAAGAATTTTAACATTCCTTTTAAAATAATTTACTTGTTTTCATCTATTCTTTTGATTCTAAATTTTAGATTTTCTATTTTGAAAAATTATTCATAAGTTAAAATGTTATTTAGTACATTAAAAACGAGGAAATGTCAATGTTGAAGGAAAGATAGAATACAGTATTAGGAAATTTCAATTTGAATTATTAGTAAATAACTAATAAAAGCATTCTTGTGTGTATTACTTGAAATAATATTGATACGTGTTATATTAAATTATATTTATATCAAAAATAAAAACGAAAAAAATTAAAATTTAGATATGATTGTTTAAAATCCTTCGAAGTTTTTTAAAATTAATTGTCGAATTCTCCTACCTGATGTAAAGTCTTTGAGATTGAATCAACAGAGTGAAGAAAATTAATGATTAATTGGACTTACCAAATATATTTCTAGAACTTTAGTGGTAAAACAAGGATAATAATTATATTAAGATCAAAAATGGTTGAAAGATTTATATATAACAAAATATTAAGAAAGATCATTCTTTGTTTTAGGTTCACTTATTTCTTTGAACGTAAGATGTAGTTTGTAAAGGGCTAACGATGGATTTTTATGAAGCTCTTCTCTAGAAAATTGGATTCTTTTTAATCACATATGGACTTTCTTCTTGGCTTTAAAATTAGATTTGAATCTAAGTGCGAGCAGATTAAGGAAGTTAAGATTTTGAAGTAGGTTTAGAAGTAATGCACCCCATTTATTTATTTTAAATATTTATTTAAAACTACATTATTCATGCTTATATACTTGAACATATTCATAAATATAATAATAAATGAATTGTTTGGTAGGAAAAAAGAGAATGGTTAATAAGTAGTGGTTTAAATATATATTGAAATACAGACATCAAATTTGTGAGATTCACTAACTCTCTTACAAACTTTTGGCTGAATATTCTGTTTGTTCCATCTCTTCATCAGGAGTTTCATATAAATTTAAATTTTTAATAGCGAAACTGTTCTTCCTATAAACAGTTTATATTGGTGAGTCACTTTCAATTTGTTGCATTATTTCATCAAATTCAAATTTTGATTTACTGTATTGTGAAGTTGAATTCATTTAGTAATTTGTAAATTTATTATTATTATCAAGGATTTTGAGGATAGCTTTATAATGTCTGAAATATCTTTGTATTTAATTATATATTATTTTACATATTATAATATGTCATATATTTCTGATAATGAAATAACTATTATAGATTAAAGAGAAATAATAATAAAATATATCAATTAAGAAAATTATAACCAATTGTCTTGAAATCTTGAATAGGGTTTTTATAATTGTAAAGGATCGATTTATAGAACAACTAGTTATACTTAATTGCTAAGTCTTGGTTTTCAAATTCTTGTAGTTATTATTCTGATTGAAGTGGCATGACGAATAGGTCTTAAAGATTAGCATCAAGAGTGGAAACTCTGGCTTTCTCCTTTTATTATTATTGGATTGGACTTTTATTGTGTTGGGAATATCTAGAAAATTTGGAAGGTTCGTAACTAATCGAATATCCGACTTTCACACTTTCTTTACTCTTTTTTTCATCACTCAGACTATTTTATTATTGACCATCATCACTCGAATGATTACAACTTTTGTCTTGAGATTCAGGTTACACAAAAGTTTTATATTACTTTTTAAGAGGTGTTTGATGTTGTTAAATGAGAATTTACGATGATTCCTAAGAATTGTTATTTTAGGTTTTTCGGAATTATGATTTAGATTTGCTAAACACCTTAGCCGATTTGGATGTTTTAATGGTTTTATTCGAATTCATCTTATGATTTGATTTTGCTCTTTGATTCCAGTCAAAAGGCATGTTTGGATCTACTTTAGCAACTGTAAATAACTCTTTTAATTATGAATAATAGGGTTTCGTTTTAGCAGACAGCCCTTTTACATATTTCATATATCTATACTAATAATAAGATTAGGGGTTTTACTTAAGGATTGGATTTGGTAAGTTTTCACATAATTCTTCAGGAGACATGTCTTTTTTCAAAAGTCCTATTTTTTCGATTCTTTCTTTGTCGTCCTTACCAACATTCGTCCAAGGTAAGCTTCCATTTAGGAAATAAATTATGATATAACCTAAGGACTCCAAATCATCTTTTTTATTTTATTCTTTTCCAAGATGTGCAGCTAAACTTGCATATCTAGTAGTTCCAATAAATGAAATATTCTCTTTTGTTTTTTTATTGGATTCGAGATTCTTGGCAATTCCGAAATCAATCAAATAAATTTTATCTTATTGTGATGCTCCAACTATATTTTCAGGTTTGAGATCCCTATGTATGATATTTCTTGAAATTTTCAGAAATCAATTACTTATTATGAATTTATTCCAGAATTCCAATCATCTAATAGGCAATGTTGCAAACACATTCATATGAAAATTTCTTCAATTTTTTTTAATAATGAATCAAATCCTTTCCTAAAAGATTTTGGATCATGATTCTCATGCCTTTTTCTGATCCTGACCAAATAACCCTTGGTATGCATGGAACCCCTTCTAATAACTTCAAAATCTCAATCTAAAACACATTTATTGTTAAACATACTTCTCTGATTAAACTATTGAAATACGAGACCTCTGTCTTTTCAACTTTAATTGCTACATTCATGTTTTTAGTTTAAGATTTTCCCAAATATACTTTTCCAAATGATCCCTGTGCCAACATGGTAACAATTTAATATTCTTCAGCTATCACATCGCCTGCTTAAAAGTCTTACATCGATTCTTTTTATAATAATATATAATTGATTTTTTTTGTATTACAATTGTGTAAATTTAAGAGTCTACACTATAATTTTATCAATGCTAATGACTTGAAACCAATAATGTATTATGTAATAGTCAAAATAACAGTGTTCTAACCATAAAAAGTAAGGGTAGCTTTTGAGGGAAGAACAGAATATTTCCAATTTTAACTTTTTTATATTTAGGTATGTAAGCTCCATTTCTTTACTATGAAAATCTTTATTGTCAATAAATTAGATAAATTGGATTATTCTCATTCAGTTATAGGTAATATACCAGCGGATTTATAATCATTCTAAAATTGTTATAGTGAAGGAGTATTAGAAGAAATTGTATAGTAGAGAAATTAGTTTAATAGTGGAAATAGAAGTGTCAAGTTCAAGAACTTAAAAGATAATTTTAAATGCAGGTTATTTATTTTATGTAATTTTTTAGAGTTAGAATATTAATTAAATTATGGCAAAAAACAAAAGCAAGGCTGTGCATGCTATCAAAATCAAGCATAATGCTCCTTTCAGTTAAAAGATTAAAAAGAAGGAGTAGAAAGGATAAAAGTAAAGGAGAGTAGGAGGATTTAGATCATTGGCAAATTTTGATGTGAGTAGAATTAAGAATAAAGAAAAAAGAATTTAAATCTTAGAAAGAAAATAGAATGAATAGAAAAAAACTAAAAAAATGGAAAGAAAAGAAAAAGATGCAAATCCTGATAGAGAAAAATTGGGTCCATTGACAATTGATGATAAAAGAGAAATTGATGAGAATTTTGTTTTTGATGAAGATGATTAAGAAGAATTACAAAATGAAGAATTAATTGATGAATTCTAAAATTATTTTTAAGAAGGTTAAGATCCCAAAATTATTATTACTACTAGTGAAAGACCTTCTAGATAATTATTCGATTTTTTAAAGGATGTTAAAGATGTTTTTGGACCAGAAACACATTATTGGCCTCGTAAACAATTTTCACTCAAAGAAATATAAGAGTATTCCATTAACAAAGGATATACAGAGCTGTTAGTATTTAGAGAACATAGAAAGGAAGTTAGCTAATTAATTTATGTGCATTTACCAGCTGGACCAACCTATAAGTTTAAATTGACTAATTATACACCCTGTGATGAAATCCATCATCATGGTAGATTCACTGATCACAATCCTGAGTTGATTCTCAATCAATTCAACACTAAAGTAGGAAGAAGGGTAGGCAGGGGATTGGCTGCTCTCTTTCCTTCTAAACCTCAATTTAGAGGCAGAAGGGTTGTGACTTTCCATAATCAAAGAGATTTTATCTTCTTTAGACATCATAGATATATGTTTTAAGAGGAAGGATAAAAAGTGGCCTTATAAGAATTAGGCCCTAGATTCACACTTTAATTGAAATAACTGAAAATGGGTTTATTTAATGATGATGGAGAAATAGAATTTGAAGCAAGAGATGATTACTATGTAAAAAGAACTGCTGCTTTTTTATGATATTTATTCATTTCTTTAATTTATTAATCAATCTTAATCCTACAACAGAACTTACCCAAATTCTTCTACTGTAAACTATATTATTCCAATCTACCCTTTTGTGTCTTTCATTATTAAATCATATTGTCCAATAAATTCCAAATACTCAATTTCATATTTCAAATCTACTATCTATAAGATAGGAATTAGCATTGTGCATTTCAATTAGGACGACTACAATAGTTAAAATATCTTAATATAAGCTCTATCTGCATTCTATTCTTTCTCTTAATCCAAACCTGCTGTTACTAGTATTTCATATTAAACTAAATACTCCTCTTGTTCCACATGATTTATTTTTTAATAGAAAAACTTTGACAATGCCATCGTGGTAATCACCATTTAGTCTAATATTTTGTATATACTATTTTATGAATAAACAAAATGCTCATATCGTTTATATGCGAAAACCCAACAGTCTTTTCTCAGCTGATGCACTTTCATATTTCTAATGTCAGTCATTCTATCATCTAACTATTCTAAGTCTGTTGGTTAGGAATCCTTTACATCATGATACTTTAAAAATTCGTGCAGATCACCTTGCCTTACTTTATATACATTTCTTTATCCATGGAGATAATTACATGTTATTTTAAAAAATATCTAATCATAAACATTTAAAGCTATTCTTTTCAACAAAATACTTTAACTATGTAGTATACCAAGAGATAATTCATAAATCTCCAACTCATTTTTTTCATTCAAAATTATTAATTACTATTCATTTGTTATAGAAAAACTAATTATTATGTCTTTGAGTTTCATTTCCAGTATTTATTTGAACTAGTTGTTTAAAAGCAGATAAAAATTCTAATTTATTTTGTGACTTATACAATACACAAAGGATGCTATACTATCAAAACTGATGACTTTTGCGGTTAATTAAGCTATGAAACTTTCTTAACACTTAAAGAAATTTTTTTCCCTCCCTTTTTTGTAATTTCTATGTCTTTATTATCAGCTGTTTGATCCTCAATCAAAAAATTATATATTATCACATCAATATCTGCATCAAATTTCCTATGTAATTAATAGCAGGATTTGCAAGTGTCTTATAATGAATAAACATTTTAAAATTGTTTTCTATATTCAATAAAATAATCAATTATTGTTTGATTATCAAAAACATACAAAGTGTTTTAAAATACCATAACTGTTTAATGCTCTATTACTTTGGCGAATAGACAAAATAAAGGTTTCTTTTCCTCGTCAATGTTTTTCAAAAATTTAATGAAAACCATTTATGTAATTTAAATTTAATAATTATTATTTTATACATTAATCAATTATCTGATTAGTATTAATATTCTTAATCATTATTCTCTTGTAGTATAGGATCTTATGTTTCCTTAGGTTTTGGGTTTTATTTATATTTATTTGTTCTTTCTATAATATAATTAAATTAATATTACTAGTAAATATGGGCTATCTGCTTGATTCAACAACTCTATGTTCTTTCCATTGAGTAACATCTTCATCTAATTTCTGGGAAGCCTCTAATAATGGTAAAAGTAATAATTTACCTTATTTTCTAACTTTTGTCGGTTTTTTCTTTGCTTCAATTTCCATTAAGTACCTAAATCTTAGTTCAATTCCAGTTTTATCATTAGGTAATGCCAAATAAGTTATTAATGCATCAAGTGTCTATTCATTATAGTTTAAACCAATTATTTTATCAGTCCCTATAATGTCGTTCAATGCTTGGTAATTATCTAATATTAAAGCTTCTTTTTCCATTTTTTTCTTTTCTTCCAATTCCTTTTTAGCTACTTCAAGCCTTTTCTCTTATTCATTTTGAACTTCCTTAATTCTATTGAGCATGAACTCTTTTGTCTGTTGAGTACGCTTTACTGATTAAGGAGGTGACTCTAACATTTACACATCATCATCCTCTTATTTTTGAGCTTTAGGCCTTTTGATATTTTGAGCGAGTTTATTAAAGAATTAATATCCTTTTATGCTGATTCTAAAAAGAGCCTCTAAAAATTCTACATAATCTAAGGATGCTTGAATATCATTCTATCTATAAGTGATAGCATTGAAGACACGAATGAACTCAACTTATGTTATTATATCTGGGTACATTCTAAATCTATCTCCAAACCACATCCACAATTTTAAAGGTATTTCCTTAAAATCCACCATTTCAATTGATTTATAGTATTCTAGTTACAATAGTTCATAGAGATAACTTAATTTAAAGTTACAGGTAGTGAAAATATTTTGGTAGATCTGATTTCTAAATAATTTTTAAATAAACTCACTCGTAGCTTTCTCCTTAATTTTTATTTGTTCTCCTTTTTTTTCAATACTTTTATATATTGCTTCGTGCATTCTTTGATATTCTGTCTCTTAGATTTTTCTTTCCTCCACAGCCATTTTGAGTTTCGATTATTCTGCTTTAAATATTTCTCCATATTATTCAATTTTTTTATCATTGAATTATTTAAATTCTTCTTTTTTCTTTTAAATTTCCTCTGCTCTTTGTTTTTTTTCTAAAACTTCACGTTTCAATCTTTCTTGTTCTTCCTCTTTCTGTTTTTATGCTATCTTTTCTTTTTATGATTTTAAATATGTTTCCTACTCCTTTTATTTTTCTTCCTATTTAATTTTCTTAAGATCCCTTTTAATAGCATTCTATATCTCCTCTACTTTTTGTTTTTCTAATTTATCTTTTTTCATTTATTCTAATCTAACTTTAGTTTCTTCATGATTTTTTTGGATTTTTTCATCTCTTTTTTTATTCTCTAATTCTTCCTTCTTTTTTTCATCTTATTTATCTTTCTATACCTTATTTACAATATTCCATTTTCTTGTAATTGTTTTTTAATTATTTTCAACAGCAAAAATTATATCTTCCAAAACATCAGCAGCCTATTCCATGATACTTCTTTGCTTTCCCTAATTGAAAGGTATCTTAGCGAGTTCTAGTTTAATACCTAAACTATATTATCTAAATGGTTCAATCTCTAAATTTCTTTTAGGTATCAAAGGCAAAACAGGTTCTGATTAAGCTCCTATTACAGATTTCTTAAGTAGCTTATTCTTTTATTCCATATAGTGATCTTTTTCTAAATTTTATTTTACTTTAGATTCAACATATCCTAACAGATTAGGCTTACAAATTATTTAAAATTCCTTAGCTGTTAATGGTTCAATTATATGGCATTTACATACATTATAAACAATTTCATCTAAAATTTGATAAGCAAAAGTGTTCCCATCTTAAATTTCAAAAACATGATAAAATTTAACTACTTCTTCTTTCTAACTCTTGTATCCTTCAGGTAGCACATACTTTGGATCTTCAGCCAATTTTTTATTGAATTCTTTTATAACTTCCTTTTAAGCAAAATACATGTTATCAGGATCATCATATAATTAAGTATTCTAACCTTTATTTGCAGTTACTTATTACATTTTTTAAAGCATCAATTCAATACAAAAATGAGGCTAAACATATTTATTCATTTTAGTAAATATTATACAAGCATACTATGTAATAATATGTTTAAACCCTTCATAATTAAAATTTGTCAGCTCGTTTTTACATTTCAATAATTATATAGCAATAGATCTCAGCAATGCTCTCACTTATTCTTTTGAAACATTAAAAATTAGTTCATAATCTTTCAGAAATGCCCAAAACTCTGCTTCATTAATTGTATCCGATTGATCTTTCAATTCATCAAAATCTTTGGGTTTTCCAACCTTACTACCTGAATTTGCATACTTAAAAAACGCATATTTAAATATTTTATGATATCTTCTAAATAATTATTCTACTAAATATCTTTCTCTATCTTCTTCAAATTAAAGATCCCATATTTCATACTCTGTTAATCCATGTTTATTAAGAGAGGTGGTATTTTTAGACCCATCTCTAAAGATTAAATTTGTTTCTCTATCTTTAATAATGGACACTCCTTATTCAACAGATCTTTTTTCTAATTATTTACGAAGATTATTTTTCTATTTTTATTGAGCCTCCTTGTATTGTTCTACTTTTCTGGCTTCTTGCATTGCTTTCTCATCAGATTACTTTTTGATTGTCTCAAGTTTCTCCAATACTTTTGGATCTGCCCTTGTAGTTTTTAACGAAGCTAATGTATATTATTCTTCTTTAGATAATTTTATTGACCCTATAGATTTTTAATTATGCGAATTAAATTAATCTTCCTCGTCAATACATCCTTACATTTGATTTATCTATTATTCTCTATATTCTATTTCATACTATTCTATAATTCTTTCAGCATTTCCAAAAAGTTCCAATATAGCCATAAGTCCTTTTGAATTTCTTTTATTGAATTATTTGACCTAAATATTTGTATGAGCAACCAATGGTTTAATTTTCTCATTCATTTAATGCTATTAAAATTAAACAATAGTCTTTATTATCTGTATTATTTAATTTCTCTTTTAAGCATGTATTTAGTCTTTACCTTGTTTTTTTTTCTCAGATGCAAAGAAAATAGCCAAAGCAATTTTGATAAATTTTAGTATAAACTCCTGCATTGTTTAATTTTCAACATTTTTAGATAAAATATTTAAAATTATTTCAAAGGCTATACTTTAATAGACTAAATTATTAAGAAATATTTTGGCTAAAAAGTCAAGGAGCTAAATTGCATTCTTAATGCCCATGTTCAAATTTGATATAAACATGAAGAAGTGCATATCAAATATATTCAGAATATAAGTGACTCCTTCTGATGTTTATAGTTATTTTATTAAATTCTCTAAGACTAAATTTATTGAAATAGCTTCGATTGTTTAAAATATTTGGATAAAATTATTTAAAATGAATTCTCTTATTTATTAATTATCATGATTCTCTACCAAAGCTATTGTTAAACTAAAATATTTTTTATTTAAATACTTTTTGTATATTGTTGGAGCGAGATTACTCTTTTGTTTACTAATTGAAATCAACAATTTAAATAAATGACTTAAACAAAGAAGCGAAAGTGATTGTGATTTATCCCTAGTTCCTTTTTTTAATAATGTAATGATAGTATTAATTAGAGATTCATCTAATTCTGTATTAACTAACAAGACTTCTGACAAAAAATTAAGTGATGAGATTCTAGTATCAATTGTATTTTTAAACTCATTTTCTGCAATCCCAATAGCTTAAGTAACCCAATCATTCAAAATTCCTGTTGATACTAATTCTTGATTCTCACTTAAAGGTATAAAAATTAATTCTATTGCATTTATAAAGTCCTTTGTGTCTGATAACACTTGCCTAATTCCAGTTGTAAAAACTTCAACAAAATTGTTTCGACCAAATTGGAGAATCAATTCTACCTAAAATTGTACTAGTTCAGGATGTCTTCTAGCTCCCATCAATGCTGTATATAACCCACCTTAATCCTCGAGAAACCATTCCCTAATTAATTAAACTGGAATAAGGGATCCTAACCTTGTAAATAGTCTAACTGCCTCATATACTACATCATAAGATTTTGAGACCAATCCTGGCTTTAATGCCTAAATTAATCTCTTTAAAGAAATACTTGAAATGCAAAAATCATTGATTTCTTAGTAGCATCTTCATTAAATAATTTATTTAATTAATTTGAATTAGCATAGGTTTCCTTATAGAATGCTATTATCGGTTCAAATACTCCTTTAACACCCTTTGCTAATATATGAGCTAAATATTTATTATTATTTGTAAAAAGAGATGCTGCTTGTTTTATTGTCAGTTATAGATTCTTAGCTAAAGCGATTATAAAAAATTCCAAACAGTTTTAGGTCTTATTCAAGTCCTTTTTGGGATCTAATTTGGAGAGATCAACCTACTGGTTTGCTGCATTATTTATTAATGGTTACCTTATGAAATTTTATTAGTAGCCAAAATCTTGGTAGCTCCATCTAAACTTAATTGAGAATCATCAAGTAAATGAGACTTTTATTAACCTCTATAATTCTTATCGTAGATTTCCAAAAGTAATGAATGAATCATTTCTTTGTCCCCTCCTAATATTAATGCTTTTGTATCCTAATCTATCATGATATCCACCTTCTAGTATTCTTCACAAAGTATTTTCCAGTTATATAGTATCGATGATTTTTGTTAATTGTCTTTAAGAGTATCTAATTTAGCTAAAGGAGTGGAAGGCCTTTTAAATCTTAATAAACCAACCTATTTCGTAACTTCACTATTTCCTTTAACAATTAACCAAAAGCTATTCCATTTTCTAGTTATCCCAAAGTTGTCTTGTTAATCTCTACTTTATCTGCATACTTTTTTCCGTCTTATGGGAGTACTCTTAATTGGCAAAGCCAATTATATAAATTTTCTTAAATTTACATCTTTAAAAATTATATATGATTTTAAAAAATCACATGAAATAAAGAGAAATCAATTTAAGTAAATTGAATTTAATTATTAATCCAAATTGCTAAATTTTTGAAATCCCCAGTTCAGGATTATTTTTTCTATTGACAGTCAATTTAAAGAAGAATAATTAACTTTATGTCTTAAATTGTTATAGAAATTAAAAAGTAATCGCAAAACATTATTTAGCGAGAATTTGAAACTATAATAATTTAAATACACTTAATAAATGGAAAGATTCCGATATGAATATTAAAGAGCATTAATTCCTTAATACAAAGCAAATTATTTTCATAATTAAAATCTAAAAATAAATTGAAATAAATTAATACTAATTTTGAAGTTATTGATATGTAGTTCAGGTAAAAACTTTAATATTATTGAATCAAATAATTCAAATATAAAACAACAAATCACTTTAAGGCAGGCCCACCTTATTAAAAATTAACATTTGATTGATATGGTGGTTGATATGCATTTGGTTGATTTTGAGAGGGAATCTAATACGGATTTTTCGCTTCTTCTGCATTCCATCCAAATTTCTTGCTCTAATGAATGACATTATACAATTTATACAAATAACTACAGCAATATATATATTAGAGCAACGACAAACAATACAACAGCAGTTGCAATCTACAAAGGAGAAAAAGTTGATATCATTAAAGTGCCCAAACTTGATAAGTTATTCAGAATTACAAGAAACAATACAGTCCTCTTCCAAAGTAACTAGTCAGAAGTTTGAATTTTTAATGAACATATGCAAAACGGAACTCTGCCAAGATCAAAATAGTTCCCATCCATCTAACTCTAAAAGACAAATTTTACATATAATGAATTGTAAGGATAAATTGTTATGGATGTTCAATAGACAAATTTGTAAATCTTGATATTGCCAGAGCTACGATCAAACCTCCACAAATAAGTGTTAGGATTTTTGTTGCACAATGAATATCACATTTCATTGTTTTTTAATAATATAAATTTAAATAAATAATAGAGATTCCTGTCATTGTTAAAGTAATTAAGGATGAAATCAAATACATTGACCGATCTACTTTTATCTTCTGACAGTAAGGTCAAAATTGAAGATATTTTCCATAAAAGTATTTAGAGTTTAGAGATAACTTAAATAATTTTATGATCAAACCAAATCAATTATTTCAACCATTTAAATTTAATATATCTACTTATTCTCAATAAAATGTTCAGAATTGAAAAATACTTACCTATTGCTAACAAAAATTTTAAAGATACAAATATTTTCCTTTTAATAGAATTGATTTTTTATATTGAAATAAAAAGAAATAAACTCTTATTTTCTAATATCAAACTTTTAGTTTAAATAATAATCAAACACTTCTGCTATTTAAACACATACTAAAAGATACATTTAGCTTTTATATAATTGAAAATGAAGATATATATTTATATAATTGGTAATTGTCAATGTTATGTACTGGATTTAGATTTGAAAGTAGTTGATTTAAACAATTATTAGATAGCAGGTAGTGATTCATAGAATTTTAATAATTCTTTTGGAGCTTTTGAATGTAATTCATTTAAATTTATCCAAATAGATTTTGGTTTGAATTTACTAGATTGTTTTATATTAACCTATATATTATATAGAATAGAGATTGTACTTTTAATTATTATTATGAAATTCCTTTGATTTTAATAATTCTACCTAATTTTTAGAATGATTAAATTTAATGTTCATTTTAAAAAGAACCTCCTTTTTTAGATTAAGGTTATTTCTTTTTTGATTTATTAATAGTTTTCTTATTAACAGTTTTTTTAACAACAATTACATTGTCAGATGAATGTTATTCATCAAATTCATCAACAAGTAATTAACAATGTTATAAACTAGATAATGGTTCCCAAGTTAATTCTGAATATCCTTTCCATTTTACTAAATAATGAGATTCTTAATTTTCAATCTTTTTCATTATTATAGATTCAACTTCATATAAAGGTTATTCACATTCATCTATTTATTCATTTATTGATTTTTCATTAGAAAATAGATCTATACTAATTAATTCTATTGTATCTTAAACATCTTCTTAATGCTTTTAAGGTTATGATTTTATTCTCATCCAATTAAAAATATTAACATCTCACTATAAATTTCATCATTGCTTTTTAATTTATAATTTATTTAAACATTTAACTATAATATATTATCATTCTAATCATTTACATCCTATTCAATATTTCTCTTTATTGTATCCAAATAAATAAAATTACTATTTTTTATAATAAACTCCAAAGAATTTATAAAAATTTATTATTATTTAAAATTATATGTGGCGAGTGGAAATCAACAATTTTCTTGTGAGTTTTTTGGCAGGTGGAGCTTCAACAGGGGTTATTCAGGTTATTTAAACTCCTGTTGATTTAATGAATTTAATCATTTACTCTTAAAATCCAAATCACCCTATTACATTTATTTGTATATTTTAAATATATCATGTCAGAGAGACTTTTTTGCTATTTTCGATTACTTCAAGAAGATGGAATAATAACTTATTTATTTAAAAGCGGGTCTTAGAAAATCATGAGAAGTGCTTTATTATCTGGAGTACATTTTTCAGTTAAAGATACATTAAAGAGCTTGCTGTTATCAAATACTGAAATATAAAACAACACAAAAAAGTTTCTCTTTAAATTACTTTAGGCTATTTTATGGTACCCTAATTAATGGTGGAATTTCAGGAATAGTAGGAATGCTGACTGTGTATCTTCTTGATTTCAAAATGATAATGTAGATGAATAATGCTGGACCACAGTCTAATAGAAATTCAACACGCTAAAATTAAATTAAATAAGTATTTATTGGATTGGGCTTGTCCATACCAGGAGTTTTTGTTTATAGAGCTCTTTATTTTGGGTAAATTTCATTATGATTCCTAAGGTGTTACGATACTGGAAAATAGATTTTTTGGGGAAAGACATTAAAATAATATAAAGCTCCCTTTTTCTTGAAATTTTTACTTGCTTACTTATCTTCTTTTATTGCCAGTTCTTTCTCTTTGCCTT